CCCTAACAAAGTGGAGTGATGGTAGGACATTTTTTGTTGTTTACTTTCTTAAATTATCCTACAGAGGCTCATCCAGGTCAGATGTTTTGTTTCTTTACATGATTGGAAAGAGCAAATTCTAAGGTTTCTAAAGCAAATACAGGCACCTAAAACCTCTAAAAAAGGAGAGGGCATGTTTGTTATGACAGCGTTTCCACATGTTCCTGTGACACAAGTTGTGTGGAAAAAAAATATTTTATTATATTCATTATACTCTTACTATAAAATATGTGTGTTGACTGATCAGGGCAGGGGAACGTAATTGTGTCTTGTCTATTTAATGAAAATAGACCATAACATAATTTAACTCAAAATATGCTATATAAAATATGCTGTACACATATATATTTTTTTTAATGCATTTTATTAGTCTTATGTTTCTTAGGAACTGCCTTTGTGATGGTGTATATTCAATGGAGGGTAAATCCATTTTAATTCAATAACTTTTTTGCAGCACCCCTTTTGATTTGAACGAAATCTTCCATACTTGCACTATATATACTCAAAAGTATGTGGACACACCTTCCAATTATTGGATTCGGCAATTTCAGCCACACCCGTTGCTGACAGGTGTATAAAATCGTGCACACAGCCATGCAATCTCCATAGACAAACATTGGCAGTAGAATGGCCTAACTGAAGATCTCAGTGACTGTCAACGTGGCACCGTCATAGGATGCCACCTTTCCAACAAGTCAGTTCGTCAAATTTCTGCCCTGCTAGAGCTGCCCCGGTGAACTGTAAGTGCTGTTATTGTGAAGTGGAAACGTCTAGAAGCAACAGCGGCTCAGCCGCGAAGTGGTAGGCCACACTAGCTCACAGAACTCATTACCGAGTTCCAAACTGCCTCTGGAAGCAACGTCAGCACAATAACTGTTCTTCGGGAGCTTCACGACATGGGTTTCCATGGCCGCACACATGCCTAAGATCACCATGCGCGATGCCAAGCTTCGGCTGGAGTGGTGTAAAGCTCACCACCATTAGACTCTGGAGCAGTGGAAACGCGTTCTCTGAAGTGATGAATCACGCTTTACCATCTGGCAGGCCGACTAACAAATCTGGGTTTGGCGGATGCCAGGAGAAAGCTACCTGCCCGGATGCATAGTGCCAACTGTAAAGTTTGGTGGAGGAGGAATAATGGTCTAGGGCTGTTTTTCATGGTTCGGTTAAGGCCCCTTAGTTCCAGTGAAGGGAAATCTTAATGCTACAGCATAGAATGACATCCTAGTCGATTATGTGTTTTCCAACTTTGTGGCAACAGTTTGGGGAAGGCCCTTTCCTATTTCAGCATGAAAATGCCCGTGCATCAAGTGAGGTCCATACAGAAATGTTTTGTCGATCGGTGTGGAAGAACTTGACTGGCCTGCACAGAGCCCTGAACACCTTTGGGATGAATTGGAACTCCGACTGTGAGCCAGGCCTAATCGCCCAACATCAGTGCCCAACCTCACTAATGCTTTTGTGGTTGAATGGAAGCAAGTCCCCCCAGCAATGTTCCAACATCTAGTGGAAAGCCTTCCCAGAAGAGTGGAGGCTGTTATAGCAGCAAAGGGGGGACCAACTCCATATTAATGCCCATGATTTTGGGATGAGATGTTCTATGAGCAGGTGTCCACATACGTTTGGTAATGTAGTGTATTTGCTAGGGATGTGCATCTTTCCCTTTCAAGCTGATTCATTACGTATCTAGATACTTGGGCTCTGATATGATACAAGAATTATACGTTTTTTATTTTTCGGTTTGATTAGAGATTCGATGCACTAATTTATTTTGCATAAACACATTTTCCATTCTAAATTAAAATCTGCTGCTCATGGAGCGCATGAGCTGGGCCTCTGAGCTGAGTGTGTGTGTGTATGTGTGTGTGTGTGTGTGTGTGTGTGTGTGTGTGTATATAACAATTATGTACAGTGTATTCGGAAAGTATTCAGACCCCTTCACTTTTTCCACATTTCTTTACGTTACAGCCTTATTCTAAAATGGATAAAATAAAAAGATGTCGTCATCAATCTGTACACAATACCCCATAATGACAAAGCAGAAACAGGTTTTTATGAATTTCTGCAAATGTATTAAACATTTTAAAACAGAAATACCTTATTCACATAAGTATTCAGACCCTTTTACTATGAGACTCGAAATTGAGGTCAGGTGCAACCTGTTTCAGTTGATCAGCCTTGATGTTTCTACAACTTGATTGTAGTCCACCTGTGGTAAATTCAATTGATTGGAAAGGCACACACCTGTCTGTATAAGTTCTCACAGTTGACAGTGCATGTCAGAGCAAAAACCAAGCCATGAGGTCGATGGAATTGTCCGTAGAGCTCTGAGACAGGATTCATGGACATCAAAAAGTAGTTGAAGTTTGGTCAGTCCACCCTGGCCTTGATGTTAACATTCACAGACGGACCGGACTGGACCAAATCTGAACCTATCATAGACGTACACTACCAGTCAAGTTTGGACACACCTACTCATTCAAGGGCAGTCGCAAAACCATCAAGCGCCATGATGAAAATGGCTCTCATGAGGACCGCCACAGGAATGGAAGACCCAGAGTTACCTCTGCTGCAGAGGATAAGTTCATTAGAGTTACCAGCCTCAGAAATTGCAGGCCAAATAAATGCTTCAACATCAACTGATCAGAGGGGACTGTGTGAATCAGGCATTCATGGTCAAATTGCTGCAAAGAAACCACTACTAAAGGACACCAATAAGAAGAAGAGACCTGCTTGGGCCAAGAAACACGAGCAATGGACATTAGACCGTGGAAATATGTCCTTTGGTCTGGAGTCTAAATTGGAGATTTTTGGTTCCAACTGCCGTGTCTTTGTGAGACGCGGTGTGGCTGAATGGATGATCTCCGCATGTGTAGTTCCCACCGTAAAGCATGGAGGAGGTGTTATGGTGTGGGGGTGCTTTGCTGGTGACACTGTCTGTGATTTTATTTAGAATTCAAGGCACACTTAACCAGCATGGCTACCACAGCATTCTGCAGCGATACGCCATCCCATCTGGTTTGGGCTTAGTGGGACTATCATTTCTTTTTCAACAGGACAATGACCCAACACACCTTCAGGCTGTGTAAGGACTATTTTACCAAGAAGGAGAGTGATGGAGTGCTGCATCAGATGACCTGGCCTCCACAATCCCCTGACCTCAACCCAATTGAGATGGTTTGGGATGAGTCGGATCGCAGAGTGAAGGAAAAGCAGCCAACAAGTGCTCAGCATATGTGGGAACTCCTTCAAGACTGTTGGAAAAGCATTCCAGGTGAAGCTGGTTGAAAGAATGCCAAGAGTGTGCAAAGCTGTCATCAAGGCAAAGGGTGGCTATTTGAAGAATCTCAAATATGAAATATACTTTGATTTGTTTAACACTTTTTTGGTTACTACATGATTCCATGTGTTATTTCATAGTGTTGATGTCTTCACTATTGTTCTACAATGTAGAAAATAGTAAAAGTAAAGAAAAACCCTTGAATGAGTAGGTGTGTCTAAACCTTTGACTGTTACTGTATGTTTGGATAGCACAGTACAATACAGTGGGTAGAGTACAGTACAATACAGGAGAGTATAGTACATAATGATGATGATAATGTAATTTGGGGGGTGGGGTGTGTGTTTATGTGTCCTGTTACAGTGTGAGACATCCGCAGGGAGTGGGGTCACGGCCAGGGTCGCCATTGTATCTCACCCTTGGAGCAATTAGGCTCAAGTGCCTTGCTCAAAGGCACAGCAACCGTTTTTTTCTAACCAGCAACCTTTTGGTTACTGGCCCAACGCTCGAGGCTAATTGCTGCCCCTATAGAGTAGAGTACAGTATTTTGTGCTGTGCTGAACTATACTTTACTGTACTGTTATGTACTGTACTCTACCCTACTCTTCTGTGCTGTATTGTACTGCACTGTATTATACTGTGCTCTACTGTGCTGCACTGTGATGTCGAAACTTGTGAAACATGAGGAGAATGACATTAATACCCAAAATTATGCATTTCTGTGTAGTACAGATCAGGGACCCATAATGTAATTCCGTTACCGGGTGTGAATCCACTTCACTTAACGTAGTTCAATAACCAAAATAGATGTATTTAAACTCAAGGTGCCATATCATAGCTGACACACCATTCTTTCTGCAGACATCTTTGAATCTTAATAGCATATATTTAAGAGTTTTTGAAAAACGTGGTCATGTAAAAACCTGAGGGAGATTTTACAGTAATTCCGTTACCAAAGTTTGCATCTGCACATTTCTTCCACTAAATTAGTTTTTTTAAAAATGTTTCAGTGGAAATTGTTTAAAGTAGTCCTAGTGCATAGAGTTGTATGGTGTTCTAAACTTTGAAATCAATGGTTTTTGTTTTCAAACCTTTTAAAGTGAAAAATCGGAGTCAAAGCGTAATTCCGTTGCCTTGGAATTGCCCGTATGCAAAATGGGTCTACTTTGAGCACCTTTCTGGCCACTTCTTCAATGTGCAAACATGTATGGACAGTTTTGTTTAAATCAAAAGGGATGCTGTCAAAGTTATTGATTTCAAATGGATTTACCCTGGATTTATTAAAATAGACGCCCACCCACATCTGCACACCTCTCCCACTCATCGCCATCATGGCATGTATAAAAGGCTTATGTGGTAAAAATTGGACATTTTGAAAGGGGGTCATATAAATTGTAACACATTTTTTTACAGGCAACATACTGTAAATCCTATGTGAAAGGTGCATGAGACTTAGTTAATTTGGGCAAATGAGGCCGTGGGTGGGTTTGGTCATTGAAGAGGCCTTCCCAAGGTTTGGTATAAGTCAGAAATAAGGGGTGTCACATCAACTACCCATATATCCAACTTTGTCACACTAATTTGTTGATATTGAACTGGCTTTCCAGGCGCACCTTCTCAGAGCTCACCCTGCCCTAGTAGGATCCTGAAGTGTGTGTGTGCACCTCTAGTCTGTTTCCCCATGGACTCTCTGGGTCAGGGGAGCCCCGGTGGCCCAGCCAGGGTGAGCCGTATTGAGTTACAGATGGAGGCATTCCTCCCTGCCCAGGGTATAGCTGGACCACATCCAAAAACAAACAGCCTGCACGGGGGAAGATAGCTAGCCGTGGTGGTGGTTCAGTTTTGTGTTTTGTGCTTCATGTGTTTATTTCACAATTTAATTAAACATCCAGGGCCCTTTTCCACGAAGGTTGGGGTAGTTTTCCAAATAACACTGTGGGTAAAATGTGCAGCTTTTTGACTTTAACTACAGTAGAGAGAATAAAACCAGCTCAGACAGGACTATTCTGTACCTGACAGCCGGCTTTCCAGCTTTCTCTTCTGTTGATATTTAGGAACCTAGTTCAGCGTGACAAGTCTCCTCTTGATTGTGTGAGGTCCCGTAAATCATTCCTTGTTTTGACATCTGGGGTGGTGGTGGGTTACCATGGTAATGCAATAAAGTGGAGTGAACTCTGGGCAGAGTGGAGTGAGGCATGCTGGGTAGTTGGTGCCCCTCTATTCTGTAATGTGTCCTACAGTAGGTGTGGACAGGACTGGACAGGGGGTGGTCTGTATCTGTAGTGAGGCAGTGGAGAAGCTTACAGTGAAACACCTGCCACAAAGTCAACATTTATTTAACTGTTGTTTTAGTGTGCCTTCCCTGTGTGTTTGTATCTTGCACTAAATGTTGTGCCAGATGTTTGGGGGGTGTGTGTGAGCGCCACAATGTGTATACTACTCAGGAGACAAGCTTGCTTAAAAAGTTGTGTTCGTGGGTGTGCGTTTTTGTATGTCAGTGTGCATATAGCGAACCAAACCATACCAGTGCAGGTGTTAAGTTTTCTTGTGGGCTTATGGAGTTTGTGTTGGTGCTGAGGTCATAGGACGTCTATTATTGCTTCAAAATATGGGTTTATGCCTAGGCTTACGTGTTTAATGATTTGTAGAAGATGTGGGGCGGCAGGTGGCTTGGTGGGTAAGAGCGTTGTGCCAGTAACCGAAAGGTCGCTGGTTCTAATCCCCGAGCCGACTAGGTGAAAAATCTGTCTATGTGCCCTTAAGCAAGGCACTTAACCCTAATTGCTCCTGTAAGTCGCTCTGGATAAGAGCGTCTGCTAAATGACTAAAATGTGTATTGTACAGTATGTTGCCTACAGCAAGTGTGTTGAATGGGTTCAGGTTGTTTTGCAGTCAGTCAGCCTGTAGGCAGCATTTTACCAAAGTGGAAAGCATTTGATAATGGTTGTAACATGGCAGAACTGACCTATGAGAGAGTAAAAGTCCTTGTAACCAATTATCTTCAATGGGCAATAGCAGGCAGGTTTGATTTCTGAAGGCATAACACAATCTTATTACTGTAATTTACAGTGAGGGGAAAAAAGTATTTGATCCCCTGCTGATTTTGTACGTTTGCCCACTGACAAAGAATTTATCAGTCTAATTTTAATGGTAGGTTTATTTGAACAGTGAGAGACAGAATAACAACAAAAAAATCCAGAAAAACGCATGTCAAAAATGTTAGAAATTGATTGGAGTTTGAATGAGGGAAATAAGTATTTGACCCCTCTGCAAAACATGACTTAGTACTTGGTGGAAAAACCCTTGTTGGCAATCACAGAGGTCAGACATTTCTTGTAGTTGGCCACCAGGTTTGCACACATCTCAGGAGGGATTTTGTCCCACTCCTCTTTGCAGATCTTCTCCAAGTCATTAAGGTTTCGAGGCTGACGTTTGGCAACTCGAACCTTCAGCTCCCTCCACAGATTTTCTATGGGATTAAGGTCTGGAGACTGGCTAGGCCACTCCAGGACCTTAATGTGCTTCTTCTTGAGCCACTCCTTTGTTGCCTTGGCTGTGTGTTTTGGGTCATTGTCATGCTGGAATAACCATCCACGACCCATTTTCAATGCCCTGGCTGAGGGAAGGAGGTTCTCACCCAAGATTTGACGGTACATGGCCCCGTCCATCGTCCCTTTGATGCGGTGAAGTTGTCCTGTCCCCTTAGCAGAAAAACACCCTCAAAGCATAATGTTTCCACCTCCATGTTTGATGGTGGGGATGGTGTTCTTGGGGTCATAGGCAGCATTCCTCCTCCTCCAAACACGGCGAGTTGATGCCAAATAGCTCCATTTTGGTCTCATCTGACCACAACACTAACCCAGTTCTCCTCTGAATCATTCAGATGTTCATTGGCAAACTTCATTATTGTGGGTGTAGCGAAATGCTTGTAAGTACCTTATTTAAGTACCTTACTGTGATTGCTTTCAATTAAAATGGTCAAAAAGAAACAAAAATAGCTTCTTATCAAAGGGCAATTTCTCAAGCAAGAATTTTGCTAGGACTTTCTGGGAGTGGTCTGACTGGGGAGGGGAAAACTGAAAATGTGCTGTTATTGGCAGAGAGGTTTGGAACTCTTTCTTATTGGTCTATTAAGTTATTTACCGCATAGTGATGTTACCATGGAAGGCCAAAACCCCATACCACCAAAACAGGCTGAAATTTCAGGTGGTCTTTTTAAACAGCTCTTACGCTAAAAGTTTTGCAGTATTATTCCAACCTCATAGTGTGGAAATATACATAAAACACAGGAAAAGCATGTTTCTGACTGCAGTGGGCCTTTAAGCTATCAGAAAAAATCCCATGTGGATTTGCATCTGTATGCAGTGATTTTGTTTTTAAATGAATGACTGCAGTAAGTCTTTCTACAGCATACTAACAATGTTTCTCTCTCTCTCTCTGCAGAGAATCTTCAACTCGTTTGTGTACACAGAGAAGACATCAAACGGAGAGACAGAGGTACAGCAGGTGAGTCACTGGGTGCTCTTGCTTTTATAGGCTTGTGCTATCTTCCTGTGTGTGTGTGCACGCGTGTATGTGCGCTTGTGATTGTCTGTGCGGCAGTAACACACACACACACACACACACACACACACACACACACACACAGCCATCATCAGAGGAAAGGAGGGCTTATTAAAATTCTACAGCTGCCGTCACATTGGCTTTGAAGTTCTTTTTCTGTTTTTCACTCCTCGACTCCATTCTCTCCCCCATTCTCGCATGCACTACACAGTGTCAGTGCAGTAAGGCTTCACTCTGACAATTTGATGCTGGAATAAAAACATGGCTCCTCTACCTGTACTCTAATGCAGTATTAAAGACTGAAATAATGTCATTTTATCTTCCCTCTCCCATTGTTGGCAATAAAGAGGCTACATTAGAATCCTAGATCTGTTTAAATAAACTTTATTATCCCCTGGAGCAATTCAGAAAGGCAAAGTCCACTGTGCCCAGCCCAGTGTGTTGAGAGCACCGTAATATACTGTGGGCTCCAAAAGTACAATGACTGAGGTTAAAGTGCGGACTGTCACTTATATGTATTAAAGTAGTTAAACGTTTAGTATTTGCGCTATGTACGAAAGTGTGTGTATATATTTGTATATATATGTACAGTGCTATGAAAAAGTATTTGCCCCCTTTCTAATTTTCTCTACTTTTGTATATTTGTGATACTGAATGTTATCAGATCTTCAACCAAAACCTAATATTAGATAAAGGGAACATAAGTGAACAAATAACACAACAATTACATATTTATTTCATAAACAAAGTTATGCAACACCCAATTCCCCTGTGTGAAAAAGTAATTGCCCCCTTACACTCAATAACTGGTTGTGCCACCTTTAGCTGCAATGACTCCAACCAAATGCTTCCTGTAGTTGTTGATCAGTCTCTCACGTCGCTGTGGAGGAATTTTGGCCCACTCTTCCATGCAGAACTGCTTTAACTCAGTGAAGTTGTGGGTTTTCAAGCATGAACTGCTCGTTTCAAGTCTTGCCACAACATCTCAATTGGGATTAGGTCTGGACTTTGACTAGGCCATTCCAAAACTTCCAATTTGTTGCTTTTTAGCTATTTTCATGTAGACTTGATTGTGTGTTTTGGATCATTGTCTTGCTGCATGACCGAGCTGCGCTTCAGCTTCAGCTCACAGACCTACCATTAAAATTATATATGTGTATGTATGTATGTACACTGCTCAAAAAAATAAAGGGAACACTTAAACAACACATCCTAGATCTGAATGAATGAAATAATCTTATTAAATACTTTTTTCTTTACATAGTTGAATGTGCTGACAACAAAATCACACAAATTATCAATGGAAATCAAATTTATCAACCCATGGAGGTCTGGATTTAGAGTCACCCTCAAAATTAAAGTGGAAAACCACACTACAGGCTGATCCAACTTTGATGTAATGTCCTTAAAACAAGTCAAAAAGAAGGCTCAGTAGTGTGTGTGGCCTCCACGTGCCTGTATGACCTCCCTACAACGCCTGGGCATGCTCCTGATGAGGTGGCGGATGGTCTCCTGAGGGATCTCCTCCCAGACCTGGACTAAAGCATCCGCCAACTCCTGGACAGTCTGTGGTGCAACATGGCGTTGGTGGATGGAGCGAGACGTGATGTCCCAGATGTGCTCAATTGGATTCAGGTCTGGGGAACGGGTGGGCCAGTCCATAGCATCAATGCCTTCCTCTTGCAGGAACTGCTGACACACTCCAGCCACATGAGGTCTAGCATTGTCTTGCATTAGGAGGAACCCAGGGCCAACCGCACCAGCATATGGTCTCACATGGGGTCTGAGGATCTCATCTCGGTACCTAATGGCAGTCAGGCTACCTCTGGCGAACACATGGAGGGCTGTGCGGCCCCCCCAAAGAAATGCCACCCCACACCATGACTGACCCACCGCCAAACCGGTCATGCTGGAGGATGTTGCAGGCAGCAGAACGTTCTCCACGGCGTCTCCAGACTCTGTCACATGTGCTCAGTGTGAACCTGCTTTCATCTGTGAAGAGCACAGGGCGCCAGTGGCGAATTTGCCAATCTTGGTGTTCTCTGGCAAATGCCAAACGTCCTGCACGCTGTTGGGCTGTAAGCACAACCCCCACCTGTGGACGTCGGGCCCTCATACCACCCTCATGGAGTCTGTTTCTGACCGTTTGAGCAGACACATGCACATTTGTGGCCTGCTGGAGGTCATTTTGCAGGGCTCTGGCAGTGCTCCTCCTGCTCCTCCTTGCACAAAGGCGGAGGTAGCAGTCCTGCTGCTGGGTTGTTGCCCTCCTACGGCCTCCTCCACGTCTCCTGATGTACTGGCCTGTCTCCTGGTAGCGCCTCCATGCTCTGGACACTACGCTGACAGACACAGCAAACCTTCTTGCCACAGCTCGCATTGATGTGCCGTCCTGGATGAGCTGCACTACCTGAGCCACTTGTGTGGGTTGTAGACTCTGTCTCATGCTACCACTAGAGTGAAAGCACCGCCAGCATTCAAAAGTGACCAAAGCATCAGCCAGGAAGCATAGGAACTGAGAAGTGGTCTGTGGTCACCACCTGCAGAACCACGTCTTTATTGGGGGTGTCTTGCTAATTGCCTATAATTTCCACCTGTTGTCTATTCCATTTGCACACCAGCATGTGAAATGTATTGTCAATCTGTGTTGCTTCCTAAGTGGACAGTTTGATTTCACAGAAGTGTGATTGACTTGGAGTTACATTGTGTTGTTTAAGTGTTCCCTTTATTTTTTTGAGCTGTGTGTGTGTATGTATGTATATATATACACATGTATATACGTGTGTGTGTGTGTGTGTGTGTATATATATATATATATATATACATACAGTGGGGAAAAAAAGTATTTAGTCAGCCACCAATTGTGCAAGTTCTCCCACTTAAAAAGATGAGAGGCCTGTCATTTTCATCATAGGTACACGTCAACTATGACAGACAAATTGAGGAAAAAAAATCCAGAAAATCACATTGTAGGATTTTTTATGAATTTATTTGCAAATTATGGTGGAAAATAAGTATTTGGTCACCTACAAACAAGCAAGATTTCTGGCTCTCACAGACCTGTAACTTCTTCTTTAAGAGGCTCCTCTGTCCTCCACTCGTTACCTGTATTAATGGCACCTGTTTGAACTTGTTATCAGTATAAAAGACACCTGTCCACAGCCTCAAACAGTCACACTCCAAACTCCACTATGGCCAAGACCAAAGAGCTGTCAAAGGACACCAGAAACAAAATTGTAGACCTGCACCAGGCTGGGAAGACTGAATCTGCAATGGGTAAGTAGCTTGGTTTGAAGAAATCAACTGTGGGAGCAATTATTAGGAAATGGAAGACATACAAGACCACTGATAATCTCCCTTGATCTGGGGCTCCACTCAAGATCTCAGCCTGTGGGGTCAAAATGATCACAAGAACGGTGAGCAAAAATCCCAGAACCACACGGGGGGACCTAGTGAATGACCTGCAGAGAGCTGGGACCAAAGTAACAAAGCCTACCATCAGTAACACACTACGCCGCCAGACTTAGTGCCAGACGTGTCCCCCTGCTTAAGCCAGTACATGTCCAGGCCCGTCTGAAGTTTGCTAGAGTGCATTTGAATGATCCAGAAGAGGATTGGGAGAATGTCATATGGTCAGATGAAACCAAAATATAACTTTTTGGTAAAAACTCAACTCGTCGTGTTTGGAGGACAGAGAATGCTGAGTTGCATCCAAAGAACACCATACCTACTGTGAAGCATGGGGGTGGAAACATCATGCTTTGGGGCTGTTTTTCTGCAAAGGGACCAGGACGACTGATCCGTGTAAAGGAAATAATTAATGGGGCCATGTATCGTGAGATTTTGAGTGAAAACCTCCTTCCATCAGCAAGGGCATTGAAGATGAAACGTGGCTGGATCTTTCAGCATGACAATGATCCCAAATACACCGCCCGGGCAACGAAGGAGTGGCTTCGTAAGAAGCATTTCAAGGTCCTGGAGTGGCCTAGCCAGTCTCCAGATCTCAACCCAATAGAAAATATTTGGAGGGAGTTGAAAGTCTGTGTTGCCCAGCGACACTGCTCTAGAGGAGATCTGCATGGAGAATGGGCCAAAATACCAGCAACAGTGTGTGAAAACCTTGTGAAGACTTACAGAAAACGTTTGACCTGTGTCATTGCCAACAAAGGGTATATAACAAAGTATTGAGAAACTTTTGTTATTGACCAAATACTTATTTTCCACCATAATTTGCAAATAAATTCATTAAAAATCCTACAATGTGATTTTCTGGCATTTTTTTTCTAATTTTGTCTGTCATATTTGACGTGTACCTATGATGAAAATTACAGGCCTCTCTCATCTTTTTAAGTGGGAGAACAGCACAATGGGGGGCTGACTAAAACTTGGTTGTCCCCACTATAGAGAGATAGAGAGTAAAGAGAGAGAGTAAGAGATAGAGATAGAGAGAGAATAGAGAGAGATAGATAAGAAAGATGAGAGAGAAGAGATAGAACAATATAGAAAATGATATATAATACACAGATATATATAATATACACAATATATATATATATATAGACACAGATATATATATGATATATATACACAATATATATATATAGATACACATATGTACATATGTATGTATATATATATATATATACATATGTATGTGTATATATGTGTGTGTGTGTGTGTGTGTTCTTATGGGTCTGGTTACCGTTGGCAGAGCAAATAAGCTGGCACTGTTAGCTTAATGCCCATTCCCATTCCTCCACTGCAGTGGTCGGTGATGTTTCCACTGCATGGTTTGGTAGACTGGCTACTACTATTTCCACTGGCTCAGTATAATATACAGTGCAGTGGTTGGTTCTGGATCAGTTTAATCAATAGGGTAATTTGATACATTGTCTTACTCTCTGTTTCTGCCCCACAGCTACTGCTCTCATTCATCTAATCCATGCTCATTAGTTAGAGGGAGAGAGGTGAAGGTTTATTTCTGATAGTTTCCAAAACCTATGAAGATGTCCAGTGAAAGCAGATATGCAATTTGTTGACACTACAACACAGTAAATATTTGGATACACATTCTCCTGAATGCTAGTCAATAAAAACGTCTGTTAAATTCACTGCTCTGTTTAGCTTGTTTTCAGCAGGTCCTTTCATTGGGAACTGTTGGAGGCACTCTCCTATTGTTACAGCACCAACAGTTCAAGAATAAAGTTCTATATGGGCGCTAACTTGGCAGCCATTCTAAAACCTGGCCTAACTCTCTCTCTCTATATATGGCTCTGGTAGTATCCATCTGTAGACTGTATAGGTTACCACTCCTTGTGTGTGGACATTTAGTAACAGTATGTTTTTATTTCAAAGGTTCCAGAAACCATGCTAACGCAACCGGCCAGTAGATACCTCGGTTGATTAGAATGTTTTCTGTCTTGTCCGTTTCCTTGGAGGTAGGCTGGAGACTTTTCCATGTAGCAGTCTTCAGTTTTTTGTTATTTTCTTCAAAGAATGTTTCTTAACCTGTTTGAATTCATAAAAAATATTGACATGAAGTACGATAGCAATTGCATGCCTCTAAGCCTCCTGACAATTTAGCATTACTAAGACCAGACGGTGCCAGCCCTGGCATTGCTGGCATGGTTCTCCCTGGGTAGGAGGCAGGAGGGAAATGACACTTTGGCACCATGGCAGCCAAACAGCACCAATTAGAGTTGAATCCACAGTGGGGAGGAAGCCGAAAGAAAAAAGACTGACAGAAAGACAGGCAGAGAGACAGAGCCTGGCTTTGAGACTGGCTCCCCTTCTATCTCCCTCTCATTACTCAGCCAGGAGAGGAGCAGGGAGAGGACATCTGCCACTGAAAAATGACGTAGGCTGGCCCTCTCTACTCATCCCAAAACGTTTAAAGTGTAATGAACATGATCGTAGATGTTTATTTGGGTTAGGAGGTGTTTTTACGGTAATTGTATAGTGCAGGTTACTGCTCTCTCCCCCGAGAGCCGTGGTAAGGAAGTTGTGTGTTATCAGGAAATGAATCTCAGACCAAAATGAAGAGGGGGTCTTTGAAGAGCCCACTCGGACTGAGCCAGACAGTGGAGTGGACATTTCCTATTAGAACTCCTCAGCGTTATTGTCTATTGTTTGGTCCTCTGGGGAGATGAGATGGACTCAGCAAAGCGAGAGAGACGGCAGACGATGGCAGCTAGCCTAAGGTCAAAACGGCCTATAGATGGACGCATTGTTGTATGTACGTGTGTGGTAGCCAGTCTAATAGCCCCCAGGGACTCAGGAGACTAGAGGTGGAGGCAGTGGTCTGACGGTGACATTTATGTAAAAGGCCAGTCGGGGCTAGTGGAGGGGTTTCTGTGTTTTCTATTCAGTTCCATGGAATGACCTTGATGGGCTATTTATTCTCTAACATTCTCCCAGTCTACCCTGGTACTGACACAGGTCACAGCTCTCCTCCCTAACCCAGACCTAGCCGTAACCGTCCTGAACCAGAGCCACACAATAATACTGCATGGTCTGGGACTGGCTGGGCAGGGCCCAATATGTGTTATAGTGAAGGTGGGAGGAGTGAGCGGTGAGACCGGGGTAGGCGGGAGGGTGGTTGGGATTTGTGGGTACAGAGGTGGCAGGTGGGGAGGGAGGGTGGTTTTGGCTACGGAAAAGTAGTCCTAATTCACTAAACCTGTGCCTTGCAGGACTTTGGTTTCTAGTTCCTCTGGACTCATGAATGGGTATTTCTCAGTCTTTCCCCCACTGTGCTGTGGCTAGGGCTGTGAAGGCACTCGGACAGCTCAACAGTGATTGAGACACACCTAATAGAGAGTCCACATTGGGGCTAATTGCTGTGTGAGCGTGCTGTTCCGGCCCAGTCTGTGAGGGGGTGTACAGTATGTCGGAGAGTGTCCCAAATTGCAACGTACTACCTACATAGTGCACTACTTTTGACCATAGCCCTATGGGCCCTTGTCAAAAGTAGTGCACTATATAGGGGATAGGGTGCCATTTGGGACTCGTGTATCGGGTGGCTGTGTAATTCAGGGTGACTCAGCTGGCCCTGTATAATGCCATAATAGGAGCAGCGGCTGGGCTGTCGGATTAATAGGAATAGCGACTGGCTGATTAGGTGTAGCGCGGTCAATGGGTCACAGCACATTTCCCTGTTCCTGGCCTGGGCCAGGGCTGTGTTGGCAGGTATGCCTCATTATGGGATGTGGACAGACATGGAGACTGGTTGCAGTAGTAGAGACTGGTTGCGGTAGAAGCGGTTCTTCCAAGTTCTTTTTTCTCCAGGCAGTGAGTGAATGTAGTGACTTGATGCAATTTTAGTCTTTGAGTCTTGGTAAAGCCTACTGTACAGTGGGTTGCGAAAGTATTCACCCCGCCTGGCATTTTTCCTATTTTGGGGGTTTGTATCATTTGATTTACACAACATGCCTACCACTTTGAAGATGCAAAATATTTTTGGGTGTGAAACAAACAAGAAATAAGACAAAAATAACAGAACTTGAGCGTGCATAACTACATCAATACTTTGTAGAGCCACCTTTTGCAGCAATTACAGCTGCAAGCCTTTTGGGGTATGTCTCTACAAGCTTGGCACATCTAGCCACTGGGATTTTTGCCCGTTTTTCAAGGCAAAACTGCTCCAGCTCCTTCAAGTTGGATGGGTTCCGCTGGTGTACAGCAATCTTTAAGTCATACCACAGATTCTCAATTGGATTGAGGTCTGGGCTTTGACTAGGCCATTCCAAGACATTTAAATGTTTCCCCTTAAACCACTCCAGTGTTGCTTTAGCAGTATGCTTAGGGTCCTTGTCCTGCTGGAAGGTGAACCTCCGTTCCAGTCTCAAATCTCTGGAAGACTGAAACAGGTTTCCCTCAAGAATTTCCCATGTATTTAGCGCCATCCATCATTCCTTCAATTCTGACCAGTTTCCCAGTCCCTGCCGATGGAAAAACATCCCCACGTGATGGTGTTCTCGGGGTGATTAGAGGTGTTGGGTTTGCGCCAGACATAGCATTTTCCTTGATGGCCAAAAAGGTCAATTTCATCTGACCAGAGTACCTTCTTCCATATGTTTGGGGAGTCTCCCACATTTACATTTACATTTTAGTCATTTAGCAGACGCTCTTATCCAGAGCGACTTACAGGAGCAATTAGGGTTAAGTGCCTTGCTCAAGGGCACATTTACGTCATTTAGCAGACGCTCTTAAACAGAGCGACTCACAAATTGGTGCATTCACCCTATAGGCAGTGGGATAACCACTTACAATTTTTTTTGGGGGGGGTAGAAGGATTACTTTATCCTATCCCAGGTATTCCTTAAGAGGTGGGGTTTCAAATGTCTCCGGAAGGTGGTGAGTGACTCCGCTGTCCTGGCGTCGTGAGGGAGCTTGTTCCACCATTGGGGTGCCAGAGCAGCGAACAGTTTTGACTGGGCTGAGCGGGAACTATGCTTCCGCAGAGGAAGGGGAGCCAGCAGGCCAGAGGTGGATGAACGCAATGCCCTCGTTTGGGTGTAGGGACTGATCAAAGCCCGAAGGTACAGAGGTGCCGTTCCCCTCACTGCTCCATAGGCAAGCACCATGGTCTTGTAGCGGATGCGAGCTTCAACTGGAAGCCAGTGGAGTGTGTGGAGGAGGGGGGTGACGTGAGAAAACTTGGGAAGGTTGAACACCAGACGGGCTGCGGCATTCTGGATGAGTTGTAGGGGTTTAATGGCCTTTTGGCGAACACCAAACGTGTTTGCTTATTTTTTTCTTTAAGCAATGGCTTTTTTCTGGCCACTCTTCCGTAAAGCCCAGCTCTGTGGCGTGTGTATGGCTTAAAGTGGTCCTATGGACAGATACTCCAATCTCCGATGTGGAGCTTTGCAGCTCCTTCAGGGTTATCTTTGGTCTCTTTGTTGCCTCTCTTTTTAATGCCCTCCTTGCCTGGTCGGTGAGTTTTGGTGGGCGGCCCTCTCTTGGCAGGTTTGTTGTGGTGCCATATTCTTTCCATTTTTTAATAATGGATTTAATGGTGCTCCGTGGGATGTTGAATTGTTTTATAACCCAACCCTGATCTGTACTTCTCCATAACTTTGTCCCTGACCTTGTTGGAGAGCTCCTTGGTCTTCATGATGCCACTTGCTTGGTGGTGCCCCTTGCTTAGGAGTGTTGCAGACTCTGGGGACTTTCAGAAAAGGTGTGTAAATATACTGAGATCATGTGACAGATCATGTGACACTTAGATTGCACACAGGTGGACTTTATTTTAACTAATTATGTGACTTCTGAAGGTAATTGGTTGCACCAGATCTTATTTAGGGGCTTCATAGCAAAGGGGATGAATACATATGCACGCACCACTTTTACGTTATTTATCTTTTAGAGTTTTTTTAAACAAGTTTTTTTTTTTCTCCATTTCACTTCACCAATTTGGACTATTTTGTGTATGTCCATTATATGAAATCCAAATAAAAATCAATTTAAATTACAGGTTGTAATGCAACAAAATAGGAAAAACGCCAATTGGGATGAATACTTTTGCAAGGCACTGTATGTTCTGAGTTATGCAGGCTATGTAGCCTGTGCTTGAATGCATGGGAGTGGGTGTGAGTTGCCACGGTCCCGTAGGTTCTAACTAGGTTGGTTCTCTGTGGGGGTTTTCCTTGGCTCCAGAGTAGGAACAGGAACCTGTTGTGAGGAGCTGCTAGTGCGCTGGTTATTAGTGTCCCCCAGGTGGGAACCCTTTTTGAGTGAGGCTCAGAGATGCGTGCAGTCAGCCATAACTCCCCTTCTGAGAGCTGTAATGTATGCCTAGCGTTAGCTGACACACTAACACAGGACAGACGGGGGCCATAGGGGCCTAGTCAGGCCTAACACTAACCAACACGATTCAATTATCTGCCCCTTTTTTAAGGAACTACATTTTCCTTTTGAGTGATTCCTTACGAAACCTTGACAAAAAAAGACCATGGGGATTTTCACAATTTCATCCATAGAATGGTCTTTTGGGGGAAGGATTGTTTACATATATTTGACATTTGTATCTAAAAGCATTTATGACATTTTGGCCTTACCCAGGCCTCCTTTAAGACTCCATAATGTTTCATCTGTAGGTGCTATAAAGCAAAAATTGGTGTCATCTGAAGCTGTACTGCTTGCTCTGTAATATGACTAGTATTTTTATTTAATACGTTTGGGGGTGTTGGAGGGCCAAGAGACCAGAAGTGGCAGAACGGAGTGCTCAGGTTGGGATTTAGGGTTTGAGCATAGCCTGAAGGTAAGGCAGGGGTAGTTCCCCTTGCTGCTCCGTAGGCAAGCACCAGTTTGAGATAAAGGGAGTTCCATGTGATCATGGCTCTATTCAGCGTTTCCCAAACTCGGTCCTCGGGACCCCAAAGGGTGCACGTTTTGGTTTTTGCCCTAACACTACACAGCTGATTCAAATTATCAAAGCTTGATGATTAGTTGATTATTGAGTCAATGGTGTAGTGCCAGGGCAAAAACCAAAATGTGTACCCCTTGGTGTACGTTGCCTTGAATTCGTTTTGGGTTTGGGGACTGTAAAGAGACCCCTGGTGGCATGTCTGTAGGTGTAAGTATGTCTGTCAGAGCTATATGTAAGTTGAATCATGGTCTTTTTTTGTCCTGGTTTCGTGAGAAATCACTCTTTTTCTTTTCTTTTTGGTTTGCATACATTTGACTGTGTAATGCAGGCTTATTCATCATGATTTCTTCTTAAGGTTGACAGCTTTCACACAGAGTCTGGTTCTGAGGTCTTTGATGTTGTTCTCAGCTCTTTGCCTTGGTAATTCAACCAGAATGTATGAGGACTTTATGTGTGTTATACGGGCCTTGCTCAAATCGGAATAAAGAGGAGTAGCCTATCTGACTGCGTTTAGACCTAGGCCTAAAGAATGTGAGGGTACTCGTACGTGCTTCAACCCAGCTTGAATAAAAGGGAATAGATACTCAACAAAAACATAATCGTATTAATCGTGTGACTGTGTGTGTGTGAGTGCTATTGTGTTTTCCATAAGTAATTCCACCATGATAAGGAGAACCTTACGTATGATGTGTGCTATACAGAATATATCTAACTGTGTGTGTGTGTGTGTGTGATTGGTTGTAGCTTGCGAAGAAGATCCGTGAGAAGTTTAACCGCTACCTGGATGTGGTGAACAGGAACAAGCAGGTGGTAGAGGCATCCTACACAGCCCACCTGACGTCCCCCCTCACCGCCATCCAGGACTGCTGCACCATCCCCCCCTCCATGATGGAGTGAGTATATACACACACACACAACCCCTTACCCCTTTCCTCTGTTTACATGTATTTTAATCCTTTCTAACAACAGTCATCTCCATGTGTGCAAAATCTGCAAATAGAATTGACATTTTAGTCATTTAGCAGAAGCTCTTATCCAGAGTGACTTACATGAGTAATTAGGGTTAAGTGCCTTGCTCAAGGGCACATCGACAGATTTTTCACCTAATCGGCGCATGGATTCAAACCAGCAACCTTTCATTCACACATGCATGAGCAGCAGTGGTGGGATGATCTCCACTGCGCTGCTCGGCGGCCATTTAAATCTCCCAGACAGATGTTTATGGGTAATGGAGTTGTCTGAAGGCCTATTTCCACCAATCTCCCACTACAGCAGGAGCAAACGCACCTCAAACGAGCGAGAGATAGTGGCGAGAGAGAGAGCGCTACTTTCAACCCTAATCTCTACAGCTCCAGCTGTCTACATCCCGCTCTCTCTCTCCCTCTCTTCCTCTCTTTTTCTGCTTCTCCCTCCCTCTATCTCTCAGTCCTAATGTAGTTTTGATGGTGTTTTCTATCTCTCTGAAGTTTCTCCACTGACTTATCTGGAGTTGAAGGGTCTGTCTCTGCTTCTCCCACAATCAGTCTGGCTCCGCTCCAGTATAATACCTGTGGAATTTAATCTGAATTGAGTCCAGTCCAGGCTTTTCTCTCACACACTTATTCTGGAGGAGAGAGAGAGAGCTGGGGTGGACTGAGTGTGAAGAAGATGATATAAGATGATGGGGTGTGGAGGGAGGCAAAGAGGGTTGCACAAAATTGAGGCTCACTTCTGAGGGCTGTCTGATAGCAGGGCATCGCTCCTACAACTTCAAAGAATCCCACTAGGAAAAAGCTGACAGCTCTCACTTTGAGAAAGTTCATTTGGGAGCATGACCGTTTGGAGGAGTGCAGAATAACCTTTCCTCTCCCAAGGCTCACCCAGTCCCAGCCAGGGAAAGTTAAAGAGCCATACATCTAATCTGTGCCAGTGCAATACCATAGGGCCTGTTTTCAGACTAACTCAGTGCCGTGCTGGACCCTCCAGAGAGGCTGGTGCCAGACCCACGCGTCCTTCAGTGGGCTTAAAGTCAGCTGCTGCTGCCTGCTTCTGTGTCAGATGGCGGGTCATAGCTGGCGGTGTCAGGTGGTTCACAGGATTTCCCATGTCACTCAGCCATCACGCGACCACTGGTGTCAGCTAGCCCATAGGCCACCACACACACACCACGCTGCAATGCTTTCATCAGTGTTTGGTCTGGGGGCCAGGTTCCCGGTCTCTCCAATCAATGCCTGAAAATAGCATGCGTTTCGGTTTTAGTGACTGATCTTCAGGTACCAGCTAGATCATTTTGAGGTGTGGATGACAAGTTCCATTGGCACGTCTGATAATTCATCATAGCCATTCATTCCTGTCTCCAGTGTAAGCTAGCTGAGTGTAGTGTACATGGAGGTAAAGCTGCCGTAACTGTCACTACTACCGCAGCGCTGTCCCCAGCGCCAGTCAGTACAGATACACATACACCTCCTCCACACACAATGTAGGCCTATACACTGACTATACAAAACATTAAGAACACTTGCTCTTTCCATGACATACTGTAAACTGACCAGGTGAAAGCTATGTTCCTTTATTGATGTCACTTGTTCAATCAGTGTAGATGAAGGGGAGGAGACAGGTTAAAGAACGATTTTTAAGCCTTGAGACAATTGAGACATGGATTGTGTGTGTGTGAGCCATTCATTGGGTGAATGAGCAAGAAACAATATTTAAGTGACTTTTGAAATGGGGTATGGTAGTAGGTGCCAGGCGCAACGGTTTGTGTCAAGAACTGCAACGCTGCTGGGTTTTTCATGCTAAGCAGTTTCCCGTGTGTATCAAGAATGGTCCACCACCCAAAGGACATCCAGCCAACATGACACAACTGTGGGAAGCATTGGAGTCAACATGGACCAGCATCCCTGTGGAACGCTTTCGACACCCTGTAGAGTCCATGCCCCAACGAATTGAAGCTGTTCTGAGGGCAAAAGGTTGGGGTGGAGATAAGAACAGGCGTTTAGCTGGCCAGCTGCGTGTTTAGATAATGGCAGGGGTTATACAGGGTTGTATTCTTATAATGGGTATTCCTTCCAGGTTGTCATTTACTACATGGAGACTGGAGGAAAGCCTGTAGTCCACCCAACCATTTCTGCTGTTCTTGTCTGGCTACAGTCTCCAGTGAGGTGGTACAGTAGGGATGCTTGAGGGATAATATGAGGACACACTACTTACTGTGCATTGTTATGACTTTATAGTCAATGGGATAGGAAATGGCTGCAAAATGGTACAGCTATTCAATGTTTGGATTTTGTTTTATTCCTAGAATTGCCCACTGGTGACTGTTGAGCCCCTCTCCTCTGGCTGTGTTGTGTTGATCCTGCACTGATCTCTGTGAGGGAGAGCCAGAGCTGGGCTCTGGTCTGAGCTGAGATCAGGGATGTGGGGTCTGCTTGGTTTTCCGTTTGCTCCGAGTGAACTAATGAAGCTTCTGTTTGAGCGTGAGGTAGCGTGAGAGAGAGGGGTAAGAAAAGAGGAGAGAGTGGCTTAACAGGCTTTAAACCCTTGGCTGATAGGAGCCCTCTCTCTCTCTCTCTCTCTCTCTCTGACCAAATGCTTCTGTCCATATCGAGAGACCTTCCTCCCCCCTCACTCCCTGCTCCTCCGCTCCCCAAATCCCCATTGAGCCCCCCTCTTAGCCTCCCCGACGGCTACACTAATGAAACGCAGTGCTATGTGCACTGATAGATTAAAAGAGGGAGCAGGCCTGGGAGAGGAGGGCTTGGGAAAGGGGGGCGTTGGGTTGCTTTCTCTCGGCAGGGCTATAGCAATACTGTAACTCACTGTGGAGATGTAGAACACTCTTGGAGAAAAAAAATATCCGTATTCCTTACGGTCAAATTGAATGCTGTAGCACAGCAAGATCTTTAGAAGCAGTGGTGCATACTGGCATCATACTGTAATACAATCAAGTATTTCAATGTTCGTCATGCTAAACTCTCTATAACAGCACTACAGACTTTCAATACAATGGTTTGGTTGATTCAGTACCAATGGTTCTAAATCAAACGTTACATATAGGGCTCCATTGTCAGGAGCGTGTAGAAGATATCTGTCAAACAGCGCAGTGCTCTAGTACCAATACTATCTGCAGTATTCCTGTATCTCCCTGATATCTCCCTGATCGAGGCAAGGAGAACTCCTCCCCGTGGGATATTTAAATAAAGCATAGCAACCCCTTCATTATTGAACATTATGCAGGCAGGGGCCTCGTCATAAACCAGCTAAAGCTTCAAGTAATGGAAGAGCAGTATTATATGTAGGTCTACGTTGTTCTGGTATAAGGAAATGCTCTGTATGATCTGTGCAGCTTCAGGGGTTATTTCATATATATATATATATATATATATATATATATATATATATATATTAGCCCTTTTAAAAGCAGGGATGTTTTTCAAGACCCTCATTTGCATGTTGAATCCAAATCAGGGCTGGAAAGTTTTCCTTCTTGCTCATTCCCCTTTCTCTCTCGCTTTACTCTATCTCTCCCTACTCCCCATCTCTCATCCATTCTCTCTCCATCTATCCCTCTCTCCTGCGCCACTCTCGTTCTCCTGGTTTTGATGTCAAATTCAAAGCGCTTGCAAATGTATTTTTTATCCGGCACATTTGCTTAGCCACCACATGTAAAGTGTGTTGAAGTAAAATAATAATGGAAGAAGCCTAATGGGAATTTAATGTCTGAAGTTCAAAGCAGCTGCTACATCAGAGCAGCTGTCAATCAAATACACTCTCACAAGCTCCCGAGGGGAGAGGGGGGATGAGAGGAAGGAGTGTGTGTATATGTGTGTGTTCGGTGAGGATAGCGGCCTACTATGTGTGTGCGTCTGCAGGCATGCATGGCTGGATGTGCATGTGCGTTTGTGTGTGTCAGATAGCAGGTTACTGGTGGTTGGCTGTGTTTCCTGTATGCAAGGAAGGGTGTAATGCGAGCCAGCAGAGGGACGGGGTTTAGAGGGGGTGGTGGATTTGGGGGGGGAGGTCAAAGCGACCCAGCCATGGTGCAGTGTGGAGCAGGCTACTCCCCTAAGACCCCCCCCCCCCCTCTCCTCTCCCCATCCCTCTATCAGCTCTTCATTAGTGAAGCTGAGGCACTCTGGAAGCTAGCTGCTATGAGATGGGCTCCTATGACTGCATGGAGGTACCAGGGGGCTGCCCAACCCCATGTAATACTGTGATATGGGATCTACTGGGCTTAGAGGAACCAGACACCCACCATCCCCCAGAGGACACCACGCACGCACACACTACATGTACCCCACCTATACATGCAGGGGGTGCATTACTGGAAAGATGAGAGAAGCATATATTCCACACACAGCATGGGCAGCATTGAGATGGTTGCTGCAGTTTGCATCAGCCCTCTCTATGCATCTCAGATTCAGTCCTCTCCTTGATGTCCTCGCTTTCTTTTTTCTGTTTCTTGTCTCTCTCCATCTCCCTCGCTGTTTCTGAGAGATATTACTTCTATGGTAGACAAGTGAAATATACTTTGCGGTAGTGCTGTTGTAAATGTGATGTGTTCTGTCTCTTTTCAGGTTTGACGGTAACTTCAACACCAACGTGTCCAAGACCATCTGCTGTGACAGGCTGTCTCCCACTGTCAACAGTCGAGCCTTTAACCCTGGACGGGACCTCAACTCAGGTGGGTCATCCCCTCTTCATGTTTATCTCCTATACATCCCCATTGAGACCTACAGTACAAGTCAAAAGTTTGGACACACCTACTCATTCAAGGGTTTTTCTTTATTTTGTACTATTTTCTACATCAAAACTATGAATTAACACATATGGAATCATGTAGTAACCCAAAAAGTGTTAAGCAAATTCTTCAAAGTAGCCACACTTTGCCTTGATAACAGCTTTGCACACTCTTGGCATTCTCTCAACCAGCTTCACCTGGAATGCTTTTCCAACAGTCTTGGAGTTCCCACATATGCTGAGCACTTGTTGGCTGCTTTTCCTTCACTCTGCGATCCAAGTCATCCCAAACCATCTCAATTGGGTTGAGGTCGGGGGATTGTGGAGGCCAGGTCATCTGATGCAGCACTCCATCACTCTCCTTCTTGGTCAAATAGCCCTTACACAGCCTGGAGGTGGGTTGGGTCATTGTCCTGTTGAAAAACAAATGATAGTCCCACTAAGCCCAAACCAGATGGGATGGCGTATTGCTGCAGACTGCTGTGGTACCCATGCTTGTTAAGTGTGCCTTGAATTCTAAATAAATCACTGACAGTGTCACCTGCAAAGCACCATCACACCACCTCCTCAATGCTTCACGGTGGGAACCACACATGCAGAGATCATCCGTTCACCTACTCTGCGTCTCACAAAGACACAGCGATTGGAACCCAAAATCTCAAATTTGGACTCATCAGTCTAAAGGACAGATTTCCACTTGTCTAATGTCTATTGCTCGTGTTTCTTGGCCCAACAAGTCTCTTCCTCTTATTGGTGTCCTTTAGTAGTGGTTTCTTGCAGCAATTCGACCATGAAGGCCTGATTCACACAGTCTCCTCTGAACAGTTGATGTTGATGTGTCTGTTACCTGAACTCTGTGAAGCATTTATTTGGGCTGCAATTTCTGAGGCTGGTAACTCTAATGAACTTATTTTTTACATGTAAGTCATTTAGCAGACACTCTTATCCAGAGCGACTTACAGCAGAGGTAACTCTGGGTCTTCCTTTCTTGTGGCGGTCCTCATGATAACCAGTTTCATCATAGCGCCTGATGGTTTTTGCGACTGCACTTGAAGAAACTTTCAAAGTTCTTGAAATTTTCCAGATTGGCTGACCTTCATGTCTTAAAGTAATGATGGACTGTCGTTTCTCTTTGCTTATTTGAGCTGTTCTTGCCATAATATGGACTTGGTCTTTTACCAAATAAGTCTATCTTCTGTATACCAACCCTACCTTGTCACAACACAACTGATTGTCTCAAACGCATTAAGAAGGAACGAAATTACAACCAATTAACTTTTAACAGGGCACACCTGTTAATTGAAATGCATTCCAGGTGACTACCTCATGAAGCTGGTTGAGAAAATGCCAAGAGTGTGCAAAACTGTCATCAAGGCCACTTTGATGAATCTCAAATATAAAATATATTTTGATTTGTTTAACACTTTTTTGGTTACTACCTGATTCCATATGTGTTATTTCATAGTTTTGATGTCTTCACTAATATTCTACAATGTAGAAAATAGTAAAAATAAAGAAAAACCCTGGAATGAGTAGGTGTGTCCAAACTTTTGACTGGTACTGTAAGGCCATAAGGCTCCCTTTACTTCCTGTCCACTTCTTCCTCTTACCCAAACCCCTGCCCGAACCTTCTAACCCACCATTCATACAGCAGTCTTCCCCTCTAACATGGACAGCTATGGCCTTGCTTATGAACAATTGCCATGCCAACAGCAACCCGTAGAAGTTAATATTCCTCACCATATTGTTCAATCTTAAAAGGAAAAGGTCTTTGGACCCAGATAGAAATAATGATCTGTGCCTGTTTCACGCATTATAAGACCACTTTGTATTCTGTTTTCTCACTCCTACGCTCTCTTCCTCTCTCTCCCCTCCTCTTTCTCCCACTCTCTCTCTTTTTCTCTTTCATTCAAGAATAGTGATTTGTTTTCTACGCTGAAAATTCTGATGTCAAATTAGATGTTTTTTCCCCCCTTGATCTCTGGTCTGCATCTCCATTTAGTAAGAGGTTGTTTTTTCATTCTACATTAGGAGGCTTTGTCGAGCCTTCCCATCTGCCCCTGCTGCACCACTGTTGGCCAATCACTCGAAATCATAATCAGACGTGATTGACGTCCTACATTTTACCTCGGCATGTGAACACTCCCAGTCAAAGTCCCTACTCCATTCAAACAACAATGATCACTATTAATGCAGTTAGATGTTCTGTTCTTTAATGACATCTATTCATATCATGGCAGAATATTGCTGACTGTACTGAACCGGCTGCAGCATTTGACCAATATTTTCTACTCCTAATCCCACTCTCGCTAATGGTCATTTTTGTCTCGATAGGGAAACACTGGCAAAGCAAACCGCTCTCTCACATACACGACCCCTTCTCCTCTATTAGGACTGTAGAAACTCTTAACAGCCCCTTCTCGTACCTGTCTCCTTGTCTCTCACACCCTCTCCGTCCAAATTCGAGGCCACTCTGCCTCTGAGCAGATTAGGATGATTCATCATCATCCCATAGTTTATTTTCTCAAGGCAGCCATCAGGAGTTCATGTTACCACCATGCCTCCATTTCTCAGGCTGTCTTGACCTCAAGCCTCTGCTAGCATTCATCGTCCCCATTTTGTCTGGACCCAGTCTAAACAACCAGGGAGGGAGGGAGAGAGGGAGGAGGAATAGGTGGATTATCCAGAGGAGGACAGAGAGGATGGTTGGGAGAGAGAAGAGGAGAAGGACCGTAATAGAGGAAAAAGAGAAAGTTGGAGTGCGAGAGGCAAAGAGAAGGAATAGACAAATTATCCAGGGAAGGAGAGAGAGAAATGACTGGGGGGGGGGCAAGAAGTGAGTGAATAAATGAGGGTAGAAAGAGTGAGAGAGGTTGTGAGGTGAGAGATGGCACTGGTTGTAGTAAATACTAAGAAGGTGTTGGGTGAAGTTTCACATCTGTTTTTCCTGGACTCGTCCTTTCCTTCTTGTTCTCACTCCTTTCTCAATCGTAGTTCCCACGTTGCTCCAGGCACTGGTTTGATGTGAGTGTAGTTTGTTTTCCAGCCCTGCCCAGTGGACACATTAACCCCTCTGCACTTAGCCAAAGTGTTACTGAGCTGTGAGGAGGGGAGCTGGGAAAGGGAAGTGTGATTGAGTACGGATGGAGAGGGTTAGAGGAAGCGGCGGCCCCTCAGCCTGTCTGTGGTTCTAGTGTTTTCTAAACACTGGTGGCAGGATTAAGCGCTGCAGCCTAGCAGATGTATACATACTATTTTAGACTGTCAACATCCCAAGTGGTTCCTGTTTATACCAGGCCTGTAGATGGATGAAGTGGCCTAGAGTGCAGATATATGGCAAGCTAGCATGCCTCTGGTCAATAACCAACGCCATAGGAAATACTAGCATGCCTCTGGTCAATAACCACCGCCATAGGAAATAGTAGCGTGCCACTAACTCGTATCCATTCTCATGTTCTAGAGTGTAGTGTTGGTCTATATTGGGTACTGTGTGTTCATGTTGTTGATTCTGTATGGTTAGTGTTGTAGTGGTCTGCTTGCTAGTTGTTCTATATTGGGTAGTGTGTTAGGAAAATACTGATGAGATTGGATTAGCATGTGTGGAGTGGGGTAATGAACTCTAGTGTGTCGCTAGCGCCGACATGCCTGTCTTTTATAAGGTAGCGCGGCTAAATACTTTCAACGGTGACATGTTTGCTATTATCGATCTTAAGGGGCCTACTTTGTAACACATACACACACACACACTTTTGTTGACACGGGTTAAGGAATATGGCTCTATTTGTCTCTCTCCCGCTCTCTTCTGTCACGTTCATGTGATTGGCTGTTTTGTGTTCCTCTTTTTCTCTGCTCCCCCCAGACAGGAAGCTGCAGGGTTTTGTGATCGGATCTCTCTGAAGATTCTCCTGACTCCTCTGACCCAATAAAAGTCTGTTTGTTTAGGCAGCTACTTTGGCCCTGTTCCCTGGCAGATGCTGCCGTTATATCAGCCTGTAGTGCAGTAATATAAGGAACCACTGAAAGTTATTATATCAGCCTTTATCTGTTGATAGTGAAATTCTTAAATTCTCTTGATCTATTTAAAGTTACATTTTGTTGATACTCTGAGTGAGAAAGTGTAGCTTAAGTTGAGACTTATTAAAATAGCTAGACCTTATGTTGTCGTGTGAGCATAGTCACACTATAGTGAAACTATTAAAACCATGTCAGTTATACAACAGGAATAAACAGTTTAATCAGTCTGACACATGCACACAGGGAATGTGAGTTTATGCAGGGCCTTACAACATCATGTGATCTCACACTCACTTTTCACACACAGACTAGAGGAGATATGGTTAACCCTTTAAAGCCTCGCCATCTACCAGTTGGCTTTGACAGGTGTCTGAGAGACCAGAATGAATCCCCCTTGTAGGGTAATTCATGTTAAAGAGTGGGTGAAGGAGTGAGAAATGATAGACCTCTTTCTTTGTTTCGCAATATTTAATCTCCCAGAATCCCTCCAATTTTATGCTGTATCAATCCTACCTCAATCTCTCTCTCAGGATTTCTCAATTGCACTTATTGTTTTAGTGGTACTCACTTTTTTTTGTTCAAAGTTAGGGAGGAAGAGGACAGAGGTTTAGTTTCCTGGGGTTTTGATCGGTGAGGTGTGAGCAATGGCTTCGCAGCCCAACAGCCTAGCAGCCTAGCAGCCTAGCGCGGAGGAGACGCTGTCGTTACGGCATGGATTCAGGTGTGTTCCCGAGAATGGAATTAAGGTGGAGGAGGTTCTGCTCGCGGTCGGCGAACAGGTAGGAGCTGAATTTATACATTCCGCTTCCAGAATGAGCAAAGCTGTGGTTGTGTTCATGAAATGAGAACATTTGGTGGGTAGGCTCATTTCTAGTGGAATATTTGTAAGGGGTGTGTTGGTGCCAATTTCTCCTCTTTCTACCCATTCGACTAGGGTGGTAGTTGCAAATTTGCCTCCGTTTATTACGGATGATCAAATCAGGAAGGAGCTGAGTCGTTTTGGTATGTTTGCTAGTGGTTTTTGTGTACTGTCGGCAGGTTTTCAGGCAGATGCCGTCAAGCATGTTGTTTCGTTCCGGAGGCAAGTGTTCATGTTTCTGAATAACAATGAGCAACAGTTAAATGTGCATTTTAAAGTGAGGCATTGGGAGGGGCTCTACGCAGGGTTTGCCAGCATAGATAGTCTGCGGTGCTTTGAGTGTGGGTATTTGGGGCATAAGAGCTTTGCGTGCCCACATAAAGGCCGTAGACAAGGTGATGGTACAAGCACCAGTGAGGGAAATCGAGGTCAACGTGCCGGGGACCATGAGACACAGGCAGCAGAGGCTGGGCCTAGTCATGCTGCAGATGGTGGGGTATATGAGGCTGGGTCTAGTCATGCTATAGATGGTGGTGTAGGTGAGGCTGGGTCTAGTCATGCTATAGATGGTGGTGTAGGTGAGGCTGGGTCTAGTCATGCTATGGATGGTGGTGTAGCTGAGACTGGGTCTAGTCATGTCATAGATGGTGGTGTAGATGAGGCTGGGCCTAGTCAGGTTATGCTAATGAGGGAGGAGACTATAGTGGGGAAGGGTAAGCGACTAGTGGGGGTGGAGGAGGGTGTCAAGCGGAAGAGGAAAAAGGTGGAGAAGAAAAGAGGTGGGAGGGGAGAGGCTGGTGTGGTGAAAGGCACCAAGGAACCTTTGCCTGGTTCTGGGGGGGAGGTCCCGACTAGAGAGAAAGGGCAGGTGGTCAGGTTGGGATGAGGAGGAGGAAGGTGAGACTGAGGAAGAGGATGATGAGGAGGATTTATTTTCAGACTCCTCCTCAATGGGTCCAGAGCTGACAGCCAGTCAGTCAGAGGGGTCAAAGTACACGGTGAGGGAACTGTCAAGGTTCCTGAATGAGACAAAGGGGGAAAAAGTTAATCTTGAGTCTTTTTTTTGCGATCCGGGAAAGTTTGTAAGATCAGTACAACATGCAATGAAAAATGACGGGCATGGTGTCCTCTCACCCAGGAAACGGTTTAGGTAGAGGAAGTGGGTCACAACCGTGCGTAAAGGTCTACCTTCAGACAGTTTAGATGAAAGTTTTCTTTCTGGCACTGGGGCTTTTTGAGCTTTGCTATTGGTCTCTTTCTTTGCTGGCTTTTCTCCCACTTCTTATGGAGACTCTTTGGGTAGGCTCGCTTAATATTAATTTCTGGTGGAAAGGGGCAAGTGTGCTGAGCCATGGGACAAATGGTAGTGCAGGGGTGGCAGTCCTTTTTGTACCGTGTCTGTCTGTAAAAATTTGCTCCTCAAAAGAGGTGTGTAGGGGTAGACTGCTTGTAGTAAAAGCAGAAATTAACAACAGGGGTTTTGTCTTTATAAATGGGTGTCTTAGACAGGAACTCTCACAGGTATTGCTTGAGCCTCGTTCAGGCTCAGTGGGGGTGTTAAAGGACATCATTAATCAGTTTGACCTAGTGGATGTTTGGAGAACTAGACATCCCATCACAAGACAGTATACATGGGTGAAGGTCTTTGGGGCTAGGGTGAGTGCAGCCCGGCTTGATCGATTGTACATGTCCAGGAATCAGAGCAATAGGCTGTTGGGCGCTACCATTCTCCCGGTGGGTTTTTCGGATCATCTCATAACCATGGCTCGGCTGTCTATTTCACCAGGGCCTCGGCAGGCATCCTATTGGAAGTTTAATGTAAAGCTCTTACAAGATGTCACTTTTTGCTCAGGTTTCCATACTCTTTGGGAAAGGTGGGGGCAGCGAAGATAGAAGTATGAGTCTCTGAGTCAATGGTGGGATGTTGGAAAGTCAAAATTTGTCTTTTCTGTCAACAGTATACAGCTCTCTCATCCTCAGAGGCTAGGAGAGTATTGGGGGAACTCGAGCGTCGTATTAGTGAGATGGAGGTAGAGCTGGTGGGCCAAGGCAATGTAGGCCTCCAGGCTAATTTAGCTGAACTACGTAGGGACCTGGGCAGTTTTTCACAGGTTAAAGCAAAGGGAGCACTTGTAAGAGCTAGGTTCTCCATGCTCAAGGAGATGGATGCTCCCAGCTCCTCCTTCTTTGGTTTGGAAAGACAGAGCGGTGAAGCCAAGGGAATGCATTGTTTACGGCTTTTGGATGGGAGGGTGACCTCTGTGGTGGGGGAGATGCGGGACCGGACTGTGGAGTTTTATACTTAGTTGTATAGGGCAGAACTGTGTGATCCTATGTGTGCTCAGGTTTTGCAGAACTCCCTAAGCTCTCTCTGGCACAGAGGGATTACATTTTACATTCCCCTGTTGTCCCATGAACTGGCAGAGGCCGTAACCCAGATGTCCCCCGGCCGTGCACCAGGGGTCGATGGACTCCCAGTGGAGTTTTATAAAAAATTCTGGGGAATAATTGGACTGGACTTCTTTTGCGTGTTGCGTGAGTGCATTGGGGTAGGAGAGTTGCCGATGAGCTGCTGTCGGGCGGCTCTGACTCTCCTGCCCAAAAAAGGGGACTTGTGTGAACTTAAGAACTGGAGGCCTGTGGCATTGCTCTGTGCGGACTACAAGATATTTGCCAAGGTCCTCGCTAACAGACTGAAGTCCCATCTGGACTCTATAGTACACAAGGACCAGACATATTGCATACCAGGAAGCTCAATCACAGACAACTTCTTCTTAATCAGGGACATGTTGGACTTATCGAGAGGTTCTAATGTGAACTTTGGACTGGTCTCTTTAGATCAAGAGAAGGCTTTTGATAGTGGACCATGAGTATCTGTTTAATGTGATGTCTGTGTTTGGGTATGGGAAAAGGTTTTTGGCCTGTGTGAAGATGTATGCACGGGTGTCATGTACAGTGGGGAAAAAAAGTATTTAGTCAGCCACCAATTGTGCAAGTTCTCCCACTTAAAAAGATGAGAGAGGCCTGTAATTTTCATCATAGGTACACGTCAACTATGACAGACAAATTGAGATTTTTTTTCTCCAGAAAATCACATTGTAGGATTTTTTATTAATTTATTTGCAAATTATGGTGGAAAATAAGTATTTGGTCACCTACAAACAAGCAAGATTTCTGGCTCTCACAGACCTGTAACTTCTTCTTTAAGAGGCTCCTCTGTCCTCCACTCGTTACCTGTATTAATGGCACCTGTTTGAACTTGTTATCAGTATAAAAGACACCTGTCCACAATATCAAACAGTCACACTCCAAACTCCACTATGGCCAAGACCAAAGAGCTGTCAAAGGACACCAGAAACAAAATTGTAGACCTGCACCAGGCTGGGAAGACTGAATCTGCAATAGGTAAGCAGCTTGGTTTGAAGAAATCAACTGTGGGAGCAATTATTAGGAAATGGAAGACATACAAGACCACTGATAATCTCCCTCGATCTGGGGCTCCACGCAAGATCTCACCCCGTGGGGTCAAAATGATCACAAGAACGGTGAGCAAAAATCCCAGAACCACACGGGGGGACCTAGTGAATGACCTGCAGAGAGCTGGGACCAAAGTAACAAAGCCTACCATCAGTAACACACTACGCCGCCAGGGACTCAAATCCTGCAGTGCCAGACGTGTCCCCCTGCTTAAGCCAGTACATGTCCAGGCCCGTCTGAAGTTTGCTAGAGTGCATTTGGATGATCCAGAAGAGGATTGGGAGAATGTCATATGGTCAGATGAAACCAAAATATAACTTTTTGGTAAAAACTCTACTCGTCGTGTTTGGAGGACAAAGAATGCTGAGTTGCATCCAAAGAACACCATACCTACTGTGAAGCATGGGGGTGGAAACATCATGCTTTGGGGCTGTTTTTCTGCAAAGGGACCAGGACGACTGATCCGTGTAAAGGAAAGAATGAATGGGGCCATGTATCGTGAGATTTTGAGTGAAAACCTCCTTCCATCAGCAAGGGCATTGAAGATTAAACGTGGCTGGGTCTTTCAGCATGACAATGATCCCAAACACACCGCCCGGGCAACGAAGGAGTGGCTTCGTAAGAAGCATTTCAAGGTCCTGGAGTGGCCTAGCCAGTCTCCAGATCTCAACCCCATAGAAAATCTTTGGAGGGAGTTGAAAGTCCGTGTTGCCCAGCGACAGCCCCAAAACATCACTGCTCTAGAGGAGATCTGCATGGAGGAATGGGCCAAAATACCAGCAACAGTGTGAGAGAACCTTGTGAAGACTTACAGAAAATGTTTGACCTGTGTCATTGCCAACAAAGGGTATATAACAAAGTATTGAGAAACTTTTGTTATTGACCAAATACTTATTTTCCACCATAATTTGCAAATAGATTCATAAAAAATCCTACAATGTGATTTTCTGGATTTTTTTTCCCTCATTTTGTCTGTCATAGTTGACGTGTACCTATGATGAAAATTACAGGCCTCTCTCATCTTTTTAAGTGGGAGACCTTGCACAATTGGTGGCTGACTAAATACTTTTTTCCCCCACTGTATGGCGAAGGTGGGAGGGGGGCTCAGTAGGCCAGTCTTGGTGAGGCGGGGCATTAGACAAGGATGCCCTCTGTCAGGGCAGTTATATACACTAGCCATTGAGCCTTTTTTGGGAGACTGCAGGGAGTGTGCTGGACAGGCATGGGTGTGTTGACAGGCATAGCAGTGTCACCGTATGCAGATTAAGTTTCTGTGATGGTCAGGATATGCAGGCACTAGAGACTAGTCTGAAGGTGTACGAGGGAGCTTCATCAGCTAAGGTAAACTGGGGCAAGAGCAAAGCTCTGTTATATGGGGCATGAGGGGATAGGGCCCCTCTGCTTCCAGGGGGTTTGCAGTGGGGTAGTGAAGGGCTTAACATTTTGGGAGTGTACCTGGGCTCGGCCACCCTGCACTGATGGCAGTGGGATTACTAAGGCTGGGTGACCTGCGACTGCTGGGAGAGGAGGGGTGGAAAACCCCAGAAGTCCTAGCACAACAAATAGGACTAACATCTCTTAGGCTGCTGGAGAGATTCCTGGGGGAAGTCCAGGAGGCACTGTCTGAGCCGGTAAGGGGGGGGTTTGAGCGACCAAAGGGAGAGGGGCCACCAATGTTTCCGCCACTGTAGGTGACGGCAGAGACTGGGGAATGGCAAGGGGGTCTGGAGGACTTGTTAGATTATAACACTCTGAGCCTGGGGGAGTTTGAAGGGGTGGGAGGTAAAGCCCTATACAACCTCTGTATTAAGGTAAGGAACATTAGGAGCCTAACAGGAGTGAAGGCACATCAGTGGCTGGGGGTATGTGGGGCGGAGAGTATGGTGGGTTTTAGATGGAGGGGGCTCTACAAACTCCCAATGCCAAAGAGGTCAGGGGACCTCTAGTGGAGGGTTCTACATGGAGCTATGGTGTGTTGGGGCGGCTGTCTGTATAGCTGGGGAAGATGGTCTGGATATACGGTTGTAGAAGTGGTGAGGTTTGGGTTATTGTGATGTGTAGTGTTGTTTTTGTATCGTGGGGTAGGGGGCAAGGTGAGTATTCAGTACAGGGGATATTGGTATTTTTTTAAATGTTATTTTAAGGGGGGGGGGGGGGGGGGGGCGTTGAGGTTTTAATGAAATTAAAATGTGTCATTAAAGAAAGACAAAGTCAGTCTCTCTCAGGATTTCTCTCTCTCTCAGGATTTCTCTATCTCTCTCTCAGGATTTCTCTCCCTCTCAGATTTCTCTCTCTCTCAGGATTTCTCTCTCTCTCTCAGGATTTCTCTTTCTCTCAGGATGTCTCTCTCTCTCAGGATGTCTCTCTCTCTCTCAGGATATTTCTCTCTCTTAGAATATTTCTCTCTCTCTCTCAGGATATTTCTCTCTCTCTCTCAGGATATTTCTCTCTCTCTCTCAGGATATTTCTCTCTCTCTCTCAGGATATTTCTCTCTCTCTCTCAGGATATTTCTCTCTCTCTCTCAGGATATTTCTCTCTCTCTCTCAGGATATTTCCTCTCTCTCTCAGGATATTTCTCTCTCTCTCTCAGGATATTTCTCTCTCTCTCTCAGGAATTCCCGCGCTCAGTATATTTCTCTCTCCTCTCCGCTCAGGAAGTTCCTCTCTCCTCTCTCAGGATTTCTCTTCTCCTCTCACTGAATTTCTCTCTCTCTCTCTCAGGATTCTCTCTCTCTCTCTCCAGGATTTCTCTCCTCTCTCCTCAGATCTCTCGCTCTCTCTCCTCGCTCTCATCTCTCTCTCTCTCTCGCTCTCTCTCTCTCTCTCTCTCAGGATTTCTTCTCTCTTCAGGATTTTCTCTCTCTTCCTCTCTCTCTCTCTCTCAGGATTTCTCGCTCTCTCAGGATTTTCTCTCTCTCTCAGGATTCTCTCTCTCGCTCCTCAGGATATCTCTCCTCTCTCAGGAATTTTCTCTCAAATCAGGGACCTCTCTCTCTCTCTCTCTCAGGATCGATCTCTCTCTCTCTCTCAGGATCGATCTCTCTCTCTCTCTCAGGATCGATCTCTCTCTCAGGATCGATCTCTCGCTCTCTCTCAGGATCGCTCTCTCTCAGGATCGCTCTCTCTCAGGATCGCTCTCTCTCAGGATCGATCTCTCTCGATCTCTCTCAGGATTTCTCTCTCTCTCAGGATTTCTCTCTCTCTCAGGATTTCTCTCTCTCTCAGGATCTCTCTCTCTCTCTCTCTCTCTCTCTCTCTCTCTCAGGATCTCTCTCAGGATCTCTCTGAGGATCTCTCTCTCTCTCAGGATTTCTCTCAGGATCTCTCTCTCTCAGGATCTCTCTCTCTCTCTCTCTCTCTCTCTCTCTCTCAGGATCTCTCTCAATTCAATTCAATTTAAGGGCTTTATTGGCATGGGAAACGTATGTTAACATTGCCAAAGCAAGTGAAGTAGATAGTAAACAAAAGTGAAATAAACAATAAATATTAACAGTAAACATTACACTCAGAAGTTCCAAAAGAATAAAGACATTTCAAATGTCATATTATGTCTATATACAGTGTTGTAACAATGTGGAAATAGTTCAAGTACAAATGGGAAAATAAATAAACATACATATGGGTTGTATTTACAATGGTGTTTGTTCTTCACTGGTTGCCCTTTTCTTGTGGCAACAGGTCACAAATCTTGCTGCTGTGATGGCACACAGTGGGATTTCACCCAGTAGATAAGGGAGTTTATCAGAATTGGGTTTGTTTTCAAATTCTTTGTGGATCTGTGTAATCTGAGGGAAATATGTGTCTCTAATATGGTCATACATTTGGCAGGAGGTTAGGAAGTGCAGCTCAGTTTCCACCTCATTTTGTGGGCAGTGTGCACATAGCCTGTCTTCTCTTGAGAGCCAGGTCTGCCTACGGCGGCCTTTCTCAATAGCAAGGCTATGCTCACTGAGTCTGTACATAGTCAAAGCTTTCCTTAAGTTTGGGTCAGTCACAGTGGTCAGGTATTCTGCCACTGTGTACTCTCTGTTTAGGGCTAAATAGCATTCTAGTTTGCTCTGTTTTTTTGTTAATTCTTTCCAATGTGTTAAGGAATTCTCTTTTTGTTTTCTCATGATTTGGTTGGGTCTAATTGTGTTGTTGTCCTGGGGCTCTGTGGGGTCTGTTTGTGTTTGTCAACAGAGACCCAGGACCAGCTTGCTTAGGAGACTCTTCTCCAAGTTCATCTCTCTGTAGGTGATGGCTTTGTTATGGAAGGTTTGGGAAATCACTTCCTTTTAAGTGGTTATAGAATTTAACGGCTCTTTTCTGGATTTGGATAATTAGCGGGTATCGGCCTAATTCTGCTCTGCATGCATTATTTTGTGTTTTTCGTTGTACACGGAGGTGTTTGTCCCATTGTAGTGTTTGTCCCGTTTTGTGAATTCTTGGTTGGACCCCAGACCTCAAAACCATAAAGGGCATTGGGTTCTATAACTGATTCAAGTATTTTTAGCCAGATCCTAATTGGTATGTCGAATTTTATGTTCCTTTTGATGGCATAGAAGGCCCTTCTTGCCTTGTCTCTCAGATCATTCACAGCTTTGTGGAAGTTACCTGTGGCGCTGATGTTTAGGCCGAGGTATGTATAGTTTTTTGTGTGCTCTAGGGCAACCGGTGTCTAGATGGAATTTGTATTTGTGGTCCTGGCAACTGGACCTTTTTTGGAACACCATTATTTTTGTCTTACTGAGATTTACTGTCAGGGCCCAGGTCTGACAGAATATGTGCAGAAGATCTAGGTGCTGCTGTAGGCCGTTGGTTGGTGACAGAATCTCGCTCTCGCTCTCTCTCGCTCTTTAAGGATCTCTCTGAGTATTAATCCTACCTACTGTTTACAATACTGACCTCTCTCTCTCCTCCTCTCTCCTCTGTAGTGTTGGCAGATAACCTGAAGTCCAATCCGGGCATCAAGTGGCAGTACTTCAGCTCAGAGGAGGGCATATTCACTTTGTTCCCCGCCCACAAGTTCCACTGCAAGGGCAACTACGAGCACCGCAGCAGGTAATGTTACACTATCACACAGCATCACTCAGATAAACAGTACAATCAACTAGCCCAAAACACATGGTCAAGAATGGAGTCATTATTGTCACATAAATCATCACTGACTGCACATTCCTCACACATGAAGTTTTGTATGGCTACATCAAGGATATTGTTCTTGACTATCCAAGATGGTCGTCACCTACTAGGCAAAGAGGAAACAGAAAACCACTATTCTTCTATTCCACTTCCTCCCTCTCCTTTGTTCCTGTGTGGCACAGTGAGAGGACATGTAAATGTCATTTTTCCTCTACTCTGGTGTTGTTGGGTTTCTTCTCCTCTCTGAGACAGACAGACTCCCTGACCACACATGCCCTTGATGCCCATGGCAGGAATGTGTTCTGAGACCAGTAAAGACCACTGGAATCTCTCACCCACTGTTGTGGTTTCTCTGGCTTAGCCTGGTGAAAGACATCTCTCTCTACTCTCTCGCTCTCTGTCAGTCTCTCTCTCTCTTTTTCTCACCCCCTCTGACTCTCTCTTTCATCCCCTCTCTCACCAAATACTTAAAGGCCAGTCTCTCTCAACCAGCCAGCTGGCATTCAGCGCTGAGAAAAATGATGTCACCCTCACCCTGGCTTGCTACAAAGACAAATGGGGACTTAAGACTAGAACAGCCAAGACGGTCATTCTATAAGTTAATTTCAATAAAAACCTTGAACCCACCTTTCCCTGACTTTTCCTAAATTCGTGTATTTTACAGTCTAGCAGTACTTTGAGATAAATATCATAAAGACATTCTGAGCATTCCTACCTCAAAGCGCCTTGACGGTCAAAATTACATCTGCATATTTAACAGTAGAATAGCTGGGCCTCAACGAGTACAAATAGCAGCCAATCTAACATTGAATATACACAATCACAAAGAATTCCGTTAATATTTTGTTTAGGAACATCATAAAAAACATGATACAAAGACAATTTATTTCAAAAGAACAGAATAGCATGTTTTTGAGTTGTATTTATCTGTGCTTAATAGCCAAGGCTATATGGCTGTGCCATGCCAGTGAAATCAACTTGTTCATTTAGCAGACATCACACGCTTATATTCCCCTGCCCTACCACAGTCAACACACATATATTATACAGGAAGAATATAACAGAATCAAATAGAATGGCCGTTGCTGATTGTCGCCAGTACTCACATGAGGAACCCGCCAAGCCGCGGTTATTCTAGGAAAAGTTATATTTCGAAACAAAGCCCATCCTCACAATTTTGAGTTGTTTGGAAGAACTAGATTAATTAGTTTACCTTAGAGTATTGCAATCGTTCCTTTTGTCAATGCACGCTGCACTGGTCATCAGTCTCTTCATTCTCAATTTGACAATAGATAATATTGTCACCCATCAGACTATTGTCAATTTAATATTGTTAAATTAGGCCTATTATTATACAATATGTGTGAAATTTGTTTCAATATAGTTCAGGTGTAGTTTGGATGTGACATTAGCTGGGCAGGCAACTGTGGTCTTAGTCAGAAAATACACGTATCTTATTTTAGTATTTACAGTGTGCGCTTCTGGATCAATCAATCAATACATTTTCTGATTGATTACAATTTACATTTGGTGTCATGAGGTTTCGTATGACCTATTGTAACATAAATCGCTAAATGAATGCATTTATTATCATTTATTCTGGAATATTTAAACAATTGAAATATCAGCGGTCAGAATGACCGTCATGGTCATTCTAGTAGTTATGGAATTCCGGTGCGCCAAACACAAACATGCCCTTTCCCCCGTCTGTGCCTCCTAGTGCTGTGCTACCACACTGAGCTATACCAGACACAAAACCAACCAAACAATGCAGCTTGGGATGTTGCTACACTCTAATACAGGGGTGTCAAACACACATACACTACCGGTCAAAAGTTTTAGAACACCTACTCATTCAAGGGATTTTATTTTTACTATTTTCTACATTTTAGAATAATAGGGAAGACATCAAAACTATGAAATAACAGATATGGAATCATGTAGTAACCAAAAAAGTGTTAAACAAATCAATATATTTGATATTCTTCAAATAGCCACCCTTTGCCTTGATGACAACTTTGCACACTCTTAGCATTCACTATCATTCCACTATTACTGCAGATATAGTATGGACATTTTCAGAAATGACAATGCAAAAATTCTACATGTAGCTTCTTTTAATAGGAAAAGAAAACAGATGGCTTCGGTCACTTCGACTCTAGACTAGTTTTGTCTGACACAAACGGGTTTGGCAATAGGAGCTTGACAAAGGGAATGGTGGTGATGGTTGGATAAGTGGTGGTGGTGGTGATGGTTGGATAAGTGGTGGTGATGGTTGGATAAGTGGTGGTGGTGGTGGCGGTGCCTCCCAAAAGCAACAGTAGTCCTGGGAATGGGATCTCTTGTGAAAACAGTGTGTGGAGGGCTCAGGGCAGCCGGACGTAGAGGGGACAGCCCTGGGAACTGCAGTTCAGCTCAGGCCACCAAGAAGCAGGGGGGATATAAGAGAGGGTTAGGGTTACCAGCCTGGGTCAGACAATGGGAGAATAATTATCTGGTGTCAATAAACCACCATTCTAAACAGATGATTGTGTTTGTGTATGTTTTTGAGTGGGATTGTGTTGTTGAGAGTTTGAGTGTATGTGTTAGATTTGTGTATACAGTACATGTGATTTGTGTGTATACCGTGTCCTCATCACGAGTGTGTGTCTGTCTGTGTGTTTGTTCTCGCAGGCCAGTGTACGTGTCGGCAGTGCGGCCCCAGTCTAAACACATTGTGGTGATCATCGACCACGGAGTGACCATTACAGACACACAGCTCCAGATCGCCAGAGATGCTGCACTCGTCGTCCTCAGCTCCATAGACGAACATGACAAGGTGAGGAGCACTCCTCTGATTTTGATAACTTCCTGCCCTAATTCCCCTTCGCCCCCTCTGATACATCCCCTATTATCCCCTGACACGTCATCCATTTTCTTTTTCCTCTCCCTCTAAAGCTACAAAGTACATATGCCCAGTGATTACAGTGTCGATCCCAAAAGTTGTTGTTGTTTCTGTTGTGTTTGTTGGTAATGAATGTGTCTGTGATGATACTAACGTCTGTCTGTCTGTCTGTCTGTCTGTCTTTGTTTCCCTGCCCCCCAGATTTCGATCCTGTCCTCAGCGGAGGCTGTGCGGTCCTGTTCTCTGGACCAGTGCTATAAGAGCTACCTGTCTCCTGCCACCAGCGAGACCAAGAGGAAGATGAGCACCTTCATCAGCAACCTCAAGGCCTCTGACAGCCCTACCCAGCATGCACTGGGCTTCCAAAAGGCCTTCCAGCTGCTCCGGAACACCAGCAACATCACCCGCCAACTCACCAGTAAGAATAGGGCACCATGGGAAATGCAGTCTTTAGCACTGGCCACTGATGCCGCAGGCTTGTTCTACAGGAAATGCCAAATTCGTTATTTTTCAACACGTGGCAATGTATTTGTAACAAAAAACAATTGGTAGAAATGGCTCAATAAATGTGACTTGAGATCAAGGATTTGGGAGATGAAGGGTTTATGAACAAGGAAGTGTGTTATTAGTTTTTTGATCTCTCTTTGTTTGTGTTCCTGTCAGACACAGACATGGTGATCATCTACCTGTCGTCTGGCATCACGTCCCGAGACGCGTCGGAGCATGAGAAGAGAGACACCCTGCGCGTGGTCAAAGAGGAGAACCGCCACCTCAACAACTCAGTCATGATCCTCACCTACGCCCTCATGAATGGTAGGAACCCTCCACCACACACAGTTTGTCTGTGGTCAAAAATCACCCTCGACCACACAGGGTCGTCTACGGTCAGAAATCAAATTGAGATTTACTCAATCAAGAGAAAAGGAAATGTCATGGTTATGACTGAAAGTGTCACGAGTATGTTTAAAATTGGAATTAAAATCCAATATGTTTTGTAATATGACTAATGTTGTAACAATCATTATTAGTGGTGGATATGTTTGTCATGGGTACTATTGCTGGACCTACCCAGCCACCTGGATGGGGGAGGAGGAAGGGGTGAGAGGGGATTGGGGGTGGGTTTGGGATGGATGTGCCAAATGGGAAGGGGGATGGGTGAGTGGGGGGAGTGCGGACTGGAGAGGTGCTCAGGAACCTCAAAGGCTTTTTGTTTTCTGCAGTGTGTCTATGATGTATCCACCTCCCCCTCTCTATTTTTCCGTCTCGCCTCGCTCCCCTTCTCCTCATCCTTCGCTCCATGTCCGACCCGGAGACCCCTCCACAGTGCATGCATTAGCCTGGCATTGGTACAAATACATTTTTCATTAGGAAATTCAAATGAGGGACATCTGAGAGACTCGGTGAGAGCCTGAGTCTAAAGACTTCAAAGGGAGTGTGTGTGAGAGACAGTCAAGCGTCACTTGTTTAAAAGGGTCCATGATGAAAAGGATTCAGAAATATATAATCATCCTAAATTGAGTAGCATTGTATCCAGAAAGCACTTGTTGTGTACTGCAGGCTATTGTAATCAGTTGATAGAGGTCCGTGTGTGCCAGATGTGAGCTGTTGATTGTTAAAGATGGTCAATGGTCTTTTCTCCAACGTCAACTCTGATGTTTGAACTTTGTGTGTGTGTGTTTGTTGATGAGATGCTAGAACTAGAAGGTCCAAATGGCTGGAAAGTGAAATCTTGAGTTATGGGCTGTACTGCCAAATCCTCTTGATTTTCCCTGTTCTGTAGCTGTCTAATAATACTTTCCAGTCTCTATTGCCTGATTGTGGATCACGGACCAACTTAATCTCTCTAAAATGCCCTTATCAGATATGAAAAAAACTGGAGAAAGATTTAAAGATATGCTTTAACAGTAACCAGTAAATCAGCCACATATTCTTTCATGGAGTTTACAGAGAATGCCAAACGTTCATCTATGACCAAGCTGGCTCTGATGTCCAGTTTGACCCTGCAGTCCACACATACCAGGCTGTATTGACTTGACTCCTTTCACCTCCTATTGACTCCAGTCCACATTCCCATGTGTCTATCATCTGAATCTGATCATACCAGGCCCTAAGCATAAGGCTTGATCCCTCTTTAATCCAATCAGTGCTATGGCTGGCATGCATTCCATATTAAATCCTGTCAAATGTGCCCAGTGGCAGCTGTCGGGCCAGCCATGTTGGAGAGGTCATTCTAGGGTGTCCTCTATTATAAAGTCAAGGAATATTCTAGAGGACTTATGCATGGTTTTCTTACATTGATGTTAATACATTCAGAAGGATCGTCAGAACGATGGGGATGAGTGAGTGGGTGTGTCAATATATCAATTACTTATATTGCTTTGAGTCATGTCATGAAACCGCAAATATAAAATCTCTCTTGCAGAGGGTGTGACGGGTCTGAAGGAGCTAGCGTTCCTGCGTGACCTAGCGGAGCAGAACTCGCTGAAGTACGGCGTGCCGAACCGCTCGGCGCTGCCTGTGGTGAAGGGGAGCATGATGGTCCTGAACCAGCTCAGTAACCTGGAGACCACCGTGGGACGCTTCTACATCAACCTGCCCAACCGCATGATAGACCTGGCCCGCTTCAGCCTGTCATACCAGGACCCCATGGGAGACGGTGGGTTTATATACTGATCTAGGGCCAGTCTTACTTTTAGGGTCATTATGGTTAAGGTTAGAGCTAGGGTACAGTGATCTGATCCTAAATCAGTGTTAACAAATAGATGCTAGACTTGTCCTGCTTTTGCCTGCCCTACCAGGACTCCATTGGAGACGGTGGGTTCCTGACAACTGGTCCTGGGTCAGTTTCTGTTATGGCCGTTATCATTTTTTAGGTTATAGTCGGGACCTAACAACTGGTCTGGGACCAGATGTGCTCTTAGGTGCGCATAATGAAGCTATGGTACAGTGAGCTGCTGATCAGTGGTAAAGAAGGATTATAAACAGAATCAGAGTGATTTGGGCTCTTGATGATCAATTAGTGTGATGTAAAACTATCTGTGTCTTCTCCCTTCAGGTTTCATCATGACGGTGAGCCGGCCGTGTTACTTTGGCAACCTGTTGCTAGGCGTGGTGGGGGTAGATGTGAACCTAGCCTACATTCTAGAGGACGTCACCTACTACCAGGACTCCCTGGCCTCCTACACCTTCCTCATAGACAACAAAGGTACATTGTATATCTCTTTCTATTCTACTGTCATTTACTTTATGTTCGTATTCTTATCTTTTTTATTTATTGTTGTTGTTTCATTGTTGAAGGAACCTGCAAGTAAGCATTTAGTTGGACGATGTCTACCATGTCTATCCCTTACATATGACTAATAAAACTTGAAACTCTTTCCTCTCCCTCTCAAACACACACACACGCACACAACTTCTGCATAGGCTCAGAAAAACCTGTTATGTAGTATACACCAGAAGTAAAATAAAGGACGTAGGAGCTAATTACAAGGGGTACCGTTGCAGGTCATGGCGGCCCGGCTATTGAGTATTGAGGTAATATGGCATGTGGTAAGTTAAAGTGCTAGATAACTATTAACAGAGTAGCAGCACTAAAAAGGATGGTGGGGGGGGCATGCAATAGTCTAGCCATATTAGCTGTTCCGAGCTATGGGGTAGAACTGTTGAGAAGTCTTTTGGCTAACTTGGCACTCCGGACGCTCCCGGTAGCACTCTATGACTAGGTGGCTGATCCTTTGACATTTTGTGGCTCTCAGTAGGTTGTTTGAAAGTGGCACTGCCAGTCTGAGTGAGGCAGGTAAACAGGCCGAAGAGGGAAAGTAATTAAGTTTATACCCCATTAGGGGAACTACCTGGCTGTGACACACGGCCAGACTGACAGACAGACTGACAGGCCATGAGGTGACATCACCACAGCGGAGCAGGGCAGGTCTGTCCAGGATAACAGTGGTTCTGTTCACACAGAGAGAGATACTGAGTCGGGAGCAAGAGCTGGAGTTTTGGCTCGCTACTGATCTGCCACTCATTTTAGGCTTGCCTTTAGAGGTTTAGCATCACCACAGGCTGCATTTAAGAAGTACATGTTTGTGGATGCATTTAAAATAAAGGAGGATGTTTGCTTGGCTGGTTTGGGAAAGGTTAGGTTTTTGAAAAACAATCTCAATGGTTGGCAGTATTGTTATTGTAATGAGTATGTTGTCAGATGACAGCTTATTGCTGCATGGTACTTATTACACTGTCACTTGATGAACAAACCATGATTAATGACTATATTAAAGTTGTTAGGTGTGTTCTGACTAATAGGCCACTCAATTAGACAGAAGGTAAACAGTTCAGTGGAGAATAGAATGCTGCTGTAGTGTTAATTGACTGTTATAGTGTGAGGTCAGAGATGAGTGATTCTCCTCTCTCTCACACCCCCTCTCTTTCTCTCACTCCCCCCCTCTCTCTCTATGAGCACCTGCTCCCTCCCTCCGGCTGGCTGCTAGAGATAAACAGACAGCCATAGAACTGGTACTAGACATGTTTGTTTACCCTCCTTAAAATACAATCCCTCCCCCTCCTTCCCTCCTCCCTCGTAAGGGCTTTCACTCTTCCATAGCTTACTATTACTGCTGCTCTGAGCTCACTGGTGCCTGCCTGGAGAATCCTTAGGGACCACAGCAGTAGGGGAGGTCTGGCCTTGCCCTGCACAGGGAGCAGTAGCCCGTCCCGGGGGTAAGGTGGGTTCAAGGCCCCTTGGGGCCGGGGGCTCCATTGACGGCTGCTCCTGTGAAGAGACCCTGACGCCGCTGTTCTGGTGTTGTTTTTGGTTCCCCAGGTTACACCTTGATGCACCCGTCCCTCACACGGCCCTACCTGATGACAGAGCCTCCGCTGCACACTGACATCATCCACTATGAAAACATCCCAGGGTTCCCAGTGGTACGGGACAACATACTCCGGTGAGTTAGGGTCAAGGGTTAAGGGGCTATGACCGAGAGGAGGGGTTTCACCAGTTTTGTATAGATGCTGGAAACTCAAGGTGGGCTAGTAATGTAGTAAGATGCCTTTTCATCCACTCTCTTTGTTGTTGCAATCTTTATTTACATATTGTAATCTGAGGCATTTTGTTGAATGGACTGCAGTTCACGCTATTGTTATTGTATGAAGAATATTCATTTTTGTTACTAACGCTAACCCTCCTGCTCCCTGTCGCGCCAGTCTGCCTCTGGGTAGTCAGGTGATAGCTGTGCCCACCAACTCCTCTCTGTCCTGGCACACCAACCGGCTACGGGACCCCAGCAGGGAGGCCTACAACGTCAGCTACGCATGGAAACTGGTACGATGCACTGCTGTCGCTCACTGTCTGTTTAACTCTGTCTCTGACTCTTTATTTCTCTCTCTAGATCTCTCTTTTCTCTTTCCCCCCCCCCCCTCTGTCCCCCTCTCTTTTTCTTTCGCCCCCTCTCTCCATAATACTGCAAGCATCTGTATCTCCCTTTTCCGCTGGCTCTCTCAATCTAGCTCCAATTAGCAGAATTTTCATCTTAGAAATGTCTCAATTGTCTCCAGGCTTAAAAATCTGTCTTTAACCTGTCTCCTCCCCTTCATCTACACTGATTTGAAGTGGATTTAACAAGTGACATCAATAGGTATCATAGCTTTCACCTGGATTCATAATGTTTTTTACACTGTGTATATTCGCTGTTGCTATCGAAGTCATTCCTAAGGGTAGGATCATCATTGCTACTATTTAGGCCTGTATAGCATTTGCAGAGTCATAATTGTTTAAATTCAACCCAGGGTTGAACTAAAATAGACAATACACATAGGCCTAGGGTTTCAAGCATTGTAATCTTCAAGTTAATCATTATGTTGGATTCACGTCTCCATCTCAACCAAAAATCTAAGTTAAAGAATAGGCCTAAATTAAATCAAGCTTTATTTAGAGTGCATTTAAATGATTTACATTTACATTTACATTTTAGTCATTTAGCAGATGCTCATCCAGAGCGACTTTACAGTTAGTGAGTGCATACTTTCTCATACTGGCCCTCCGTGGGAAACGAACCCACAACCCTGGCGATTTAGTGATTAGATGTAGTCCTATTCTTTAACTTTCATTTTTGGTTGCTATTGAGACGTGAATCCAACATATCAGTTATTAATTTGTAGACAAACTGGAATTAAAGCCAGACTAAGTCAGTGGCACAAAATATACATCTCCTTCAAATTAATAATTGATATGTTGGATTTACATCTCCAACTAAACCAAAAATAAAAGTTAAAGAATAGGATGAAGCCAGTGGCTCAGATGAAACTATCCAAGCATTAGATATCCTTTAAATGTTTATGTGGTGGTTGTCAACCAAACACAATTCAATATTTATTTTGTAATATAGTAAATATCTAAAAGTTAAGGTTATATTACAAACTAATGTAACAGTATTTATTCAACCTTAAAATGAGTAACACATCCATGGTCACATTTTGAGGTTAGTCTACTGTAACTATAAATGACTTATGTAATCATAGAAAGCGTGCATGTTCAAGATGGCATGCAAAGGTCGCAGGTAGGGCCGGAACAATACCAGTATCACGATACTCGTTAGTATCGTGGCAAGGAAAGAAAACACGAAGCAGATTTAACCTCTTTAGGAAAACAGCCCTAATGTTGGAAGCAAACATCATGTTGTCATCCAGAGTCACATGTATTTATTTATTTTCCAAGGTAAAGCACACAATGTTTTACATACAGCAGGTTTTTAAAGGACCAAAGAGTTTCGTCTGCTTCGTGTTTTCATTTTTCCATTGGAAAAATATCGCAATACTGGTGTCATCACAGCCGTAGTCGCAGTTCTGTGGAGATCTTCATGAATAATATAATCTGTACAGAATCTCAAACAGTATTGATCACTTGCACTATGTACTTTTAATATCATCTCAACTGCAATCCATGTCATTTGGTTGTGCTATTAGATGAAGCACAGTGATAACACATGAACTTGTTTTATAAATACAAAATATCTGACATTAGATTCCCATTTGAACTTAGTTGTGCTTTTAAATGGTTGAAAGTGCAGTGTGATAACACATTAGGAATTCACACACTTATTTTTGAGTGAATAAAGGTCGAAATCTCATTGATCAACTTAAACAAATATTACCAAAATGTCCACGTTGAAATGTGGTGTGCCCAGTGGGATACAAGGACGGACACCACACCCTAATAGAGTATGTCTTTCTCTTTATGTACACCACCATTCAAAAGTTTGTGGGTCACTTAGAAATGTTATTGTTTTCTAAAGAAAAGCAAATTTTTTGTCCATTTTAAAATAACATCAAATTGATCAGAAATACAGTGTAGACATTGTTAATGTTGTAAATGGCTATTGTAGCTGGAAACGGCTGATTTTTTATGGAATATCTACATAGGCGTACAGAGGCCCATTATCAGCAACCATCAGTCCTGTGTTCCAATGGCACGTTGTGTTTGCTAATCCAAGTTTATCATTTTAAAAGGCTAATTGATCATTAGAAAACCCTTTTGCAATTATGTTAGCACAGCTGAAAACTGTTGTGCTGATTAAAGAAGCAATAAATCTGGCCTTCTTGAGACAAGTTGAGTATTTGGAGTATCAGCAATTGTGGGTTCGATGACAGGCTCAAAATGGCCAGAAACAAAGAACTTTCTTCTGAAACGCGTCAGTCTATTCTTGTTCTGAGAAATGAAGGCTATTCCATGCGAGAAACTGAAGATCTCGTACAACGCTGTGTACTACTCCCTTCACAGAACAGCGCAAACTGGCTCTAACCAGAATAGAAAGAGGAGTGGGAGGCCCCGGTGCACAACTGAGCAAGAGGACAAATACATTAGTGTCTAGTTTGAGAAACAGGCACCTCACAGGTCCTCAACTGGCAGCTTCATTAAATAGTACCCGCAAAACACTAGTCTCAACGTCAACAGTGAAGAGGCGACTCCGGGATGCTGACCTTCTAGGCAGTGTATATCAAAATGAACCTTTACCAGTGGAATGTAGATGTGATACAACAATATCCATCACATCCACAACCGTTATGGATGTTAAGGACACCATAATGCTGAAAAAAGGATACTGACAATGAAAAGAGAAACAAATTATAGACCATAAAACCTTTGGAGGGCAGAGAGAGAATTTCAAGAGCTGAAAAACATTTCCTGAAAAATGTTATGGATGTTACATTGCCTGTCCCAGTCACCCCTCTATCTTTACAAGACTGTAAAACACACAAACAAAACTCAACACTTCAATTTGGTTTGTATTGTGTCATTAACATCTCAACTTCATAACTAACAGTGTGAGCTCTTTCTAAAAGCCATGAATATATTGGTCAAAATTCATACAATTTCCTACAACATATAGATCTTAAGGGTTATTATGAATGTGGTTTCATTTGGAAATTACTAACTATTTGGTCATGCTCAGGTTGACCTTCCTGTCTCTATATTTTTGTCAAGGTCAGTGTTAAAATGGTAACTTGGCTTAGGAAAGTTGCACCAGGGTTAAAGGGTTCTGGTGTGTCGCAGCCTCCCAGACAGATCCACTCCACGTGTTACATTGAAAATCTGGATGAGGCCAGGCATGTCGCAGCAGTCACTCTGCTCTGTCTGTCGTTGGTGCCGTTGTTAAGCACAGCACATTCATCTGTTTATCTCATTGGCAGCATCAGCAGTGCTGGGAAAGGACCGCCTGTGTGTGTGTGTGTGTGTGTGTGTGTGTGTGTGTGTACGCTCGCGCGGCCGGGTCATAAAACACTCGCGGTGACGTCTGTCGGTAAACACACTTGAGGAGAAGCTGGACTGGAGCAAAGAGTAGGAGAGTGTGTAATGTCACTGTCTGAGTTCTGGAGTTTTTAAACCTCAAGTCTTTTACAAGTTCGGATCAGTCATATCTTATCAATGGATTGTACAAATCTCTGAGGAAAATACATGTATCTAGCTTTGTCTCTGCTCTGTATGTCTCTATTCTAAGTAGAAGCTTCTACACAAAACGGCCATTCTGTTCTCCCTCCATCTCTCTCCGTCCCACCCATGTCTATGTTATACTGCAAAGGGATGTCCATTAACATATTAACCCCTTCCTCTCCTCTCCCCAGGTCCAGGACACATCATTCATCCTTTGCATAGTGTACGTCCAGCCAGAGATCCCAGTGAAACACCTGAAGAACATGAACACTGCTCCCAGCTCCAAGCTGCTCTACCACCGCCTGGATCTGCTGGGACAACCCTCCTCCTGTCTGCACTTCAAACAGCTGGCCACCGTCGGTAAGAACCCAGGCTAAGGCCATACAGTCAATGACTGGGGCAGAGGAACCAGGCTAGAGGCAGAGGTTTAATTTGGAAGATGGTTACGGGCTGTTTATCCCTCCTTGTCTCACAGTTGGCTATGTTTGAAGAACTGTAAGTCATTCATTTTGTCTCTCTCTCCCTCCCTCAGAGAGCCCTACGGTGATGCTGTCTGCAGGGAGTTTCTCCTCTCCCTACGAGCACCTCAGTCAGCCAGAGACCAAACGCATGGTGGAACACTACACTGCCTACCTCAGTGATAACACACGCCTCATAGCCAACCCCTGGCCTTAAGGTACACACACACCAAGTTATGGAAACGTATCGGTAAATGGAGGAAACAAGTTCCTGTCAAAATGTTAGTCGTGAAACGGCAACGGCCGTCGTAGAGAGAAGCAGCATCAGTATCAGACACCATCAAGCAGACATCTTCCGGAAAAAGACTTGTGAGCCAAACCACACTAGCTAACACCACCAAAAGAAAGAAAATGAACTGGCCCTCAAGTCTCTTTCTTACACTCCCTTCTGTGTCTTTGAGGAGAAACTAGAGAAAAGCTCCATGTTTTTGGCAGCCTGTGTTCATAGCATTCTTAGCTCCTCTCTGTACGGGGTGAGAGAGTGGGGGAGAGACTGAGAGACTCTCGGTAAAGGGTGAGGGGGGAAAGAGAATCTGAGCTCCTGAGCTGGGCTCTACAGCTTAAAGAGAGAGCTGGGCTCCTCTCCTCTTCCCAGGCCCATCTAAACGAAGCCCTGCTATGTCACTCTTTGTTCCCCCTACAGTCGTCGGTCAGGAACGAGGTGATGGCGACCAGTCACGTCACAGATGAATGGATGACACTCATGGAGATGAGTAGCCTCAACTGCTACATTGTGCGCCGTTACATAGCAACGCCCAATGGGGTGCTGCGGATTTACCCCGGCTCGCTAATGGACAAAGCCTTCGACCCAACCCTGAGACAATGGTGAGGTTTATTTAGGGGGGAGGGGTGGGGGTGCTTTGAAATAGTTCCAGGCTCCTAGAGAGTGATAGAAAGTTATGTCCTACTGCACAGTGTTTTGGCCCGGCTTTAATACATAGCTTTCTCTGTTTTTGGTTAGAATGATTCATTTCTCTGGAAAAGTTTGGATCTACTAAATCCTCCATGACACTTTTCATTTTGCATGGCAGTTGTAGAGTAGGCCGATTTTATATATTTTCACCCTAGAATGTTTGGGTATAAATGTTTCAGTCAGTCATCTTTTTTCTCTTTTATTTTCCCAGTCTTTAGTTAGTACTGTATCCACATGGAATTAGCATGTTGTTTGTTTGTTTTACAGTGACCCTGCTCTCTAACCTCGAACTGACCTTTGATCCATACAGGTACCAGCATGCTGTGGCCAACCCAGGCCTCATCACCTTCACTGGGCCTTACCTGGATGTGGGCGGGGCTGGCTACGTGGTCACCATCAGCCACACCATCCACGCCTCAAGGTACTTCATTTTAGGCCCTTCAATGAATTACATGATAAGATGAAAATAGCGTGTCATTATTTCAAGCAGGTACAAGTGACCTGCACATAAAGACATAGTGTGAAATGGCTTCCAGAGACTGATGTTTTTATGTTCAGTCATGCATCTGCATGTGTAATGCAGTTACTGTGTAATCTCAGTGGAGGCTGTAGACTGGAGACCATCCCAGGCTGTAACACTAACACAAGGCAGCAGATTAATATGTATATATTCTGTTTATCTTTAAGGCACACACACACACACAGCTCTGATAATGCAGGTGTGTAAGCGTGAGTGTGAGCGTGAGTACGTGTTTGGGGTACAGGAGTTTGGTGGCACCTTAATTGGGGAGGACGGGCTCATGGTAATGGCTGTGGTGGAATGGTATCAAACACATTCATGCCGTTCCAGCCATTATTATGAGCCGTCCTCCCCTCAGCAGCCTCCACTGGTTTGGGGATAGGTTTGCATCCACAAGCAGGGAAGGTAGGTAGAGAATATGAAATGTGTACCGTTAAATACTTTTTCTCTCCTCTCCGGTCTCTCTTTGTAGTTCTCAGATGGCCTCAGGGTATGCAGTAGCTGTGATGGGCATAGACTTCACTCTGCGCTATTTCTACAAGGTTCTGCTGGACCTGCTACCCATCTGCAACCAGGACAAGGGCAACAAGATCCGGTACATCTTTCTTTGAGGGTCCTTCTCTCTTGTCATAAGGGTTTGTGGCTATGGCTATGCCTGATAGGGTTACTGAGGGATGACCCACTGATGTTTTTTAAGACTCTGAATCAAGCTAATCTGATTTGAATGGCACGTATACATAGTTCGCCAGCATCCCAGCATGCCCTCTGCTCAGTGGGAGAAACCATATAAAGAGACTGGCGGAAGTTGTGGTCCAGAAATAAACTCTATGCTGGTTACAAAGAGGCGGAGCGGGAGAGAGGGAAAGGGAGACAAAAAGAGATAAGCTGATTATAATTGCATTCCAGAGACATCCTGTTATGTTAGATGCTGCTGCTGCTACATTCTCTCTCTCATTCTCTTTTGTCTCTTTCCCTCTCCCTTCTTTCCTCTCCCTCCCTCCCTCTCTCTCTCCTTCCCCCTCCCGCCTCTCTCTCTCTCTCTCCCCCCTCTCCCTCCCCCCTCTCCCTCCCGCTCTCTCTCGCCCCCCATCCTCCCTCCCCCTCTCTCTCGCCCCCCATCCTCCCTCCCCCTCTCTCTCGCCCCCCATCCTCCCTCCCTCTCTCTCTCCCCCCATCCTCCCTCCCTCTCTCTCTACCTGTCTCTCTCTCTCCCTCTCTCTCTGAGAGTCTTGGTGTTCAGTTTAACAGGATTAACCCAGGGTAAGAGGACTGGGGTCTAGCAGGGGTCGGTAGGGGTTGAATGGGTTTGGATCAGGCAATATGGGCTAATTTTGCGCTCAGAGGAACTGGGGTGGGTTTGGTTGGGGTTGATTGGGTTTGCATCTGGCAGGATGGGGTAATAATGGGCCTCTCTCTCCTGACTTAACACTGCTCTCTCTCCTCTCGACAGCCACTCTGAGCTTTGGGTTCTATTGTGTTCAAATCAGATGGATTTCAGGGGGCATGTGTTCAAGTTTTTGGTTTATGTGTATTAAATCAAATTGATTGTACTGTTCAGTAAAAGGAATAATACTTTAACTGGATTTTCGCTCTCGCTCTCTGTGTGTTTAGGTGTTTCATCATGGAGGACAGGGGTTACCTGGTGGCCCACCCAACCCTCATCGACCCTAAAGGCCACGCCCCCGCCGAACAGCAGCACATCACACACAAAGAACCACTGGTGGCCAACGACATCTTGAACCACCCCAACTTTGTAAAGAAGAACCTCTGCAACAGCTTCAGTGACCGCACGGTCCAACGCTTCTACAAGTTCAACACAAGTATCATTGTGAGTAGAAGGGTTAGATGGGTTATGACACAAACAAGAGTGAAAGTCAATTCGACAGGTAGACAGATACAGTGTTGTCCTCCTAAAACCACTTGTCCGGACCATTTATTCTAATATGTGTAGTATTTATCAGTATCATAGCCCCACCAAGTGGTGGGAAATAATATAGCAACCTCACTGTTGCTTACTCTAAAGAAAGAACAGCAAAATACTGTAGACCCCAGTGCTTTCTTCATAGAGCCATTGATAAACCATAGTATAGTAGCATAATTTCTCTCTCGCTTCATCCACCGTCTTTCCTCAGGGTGACCTGACTAACCTTGTCCACGGGAGCCACTGCTCCAAGTACCGTCTGACCCGTATTCCAGGGACCAATGCTTTCGCTGGCATCGTCAACGAGACGTGTGATTCGCTGGCTTTCTGTGCCTGCAGCACTGTGGACCGCCTCTGTCTCAACTGTCACAGGTCAGACACAGTCACAGAACACAGAGTAACATAGGAGATGAGATGCAGTGTTTTCTTATTACTATGAATTAGTGATTTATCTGTGTAAATAGTTGTATTAACAGGGTTGAATAGTACGCATTAAATTATTTAAATTCTCTATCAATTTTTTAATCATCTTTGTAGATAATGTAATTATATTTGAAAACGTTTTTAATAGTTTGTCTGACTGTTGTACAGGATGGAGCAGAATGAGTGCGAGTGTCCATGTGAGTGCCCCCTGGAGGTCAATGAATGTACTGGCAACCTTACCTACGCTGAAAACAGGTGAGTGCTAGGATCCATAATTATGGTTCTGTATTGAATAGCCTACCACCAACAACAACAATTAAAGAGTAAAGAGATGTGTGTGTGCTGTATATGTGCCAACTCTTTAGTACCTGCAGACTCTGTAGTAGCCACATGCTCTGTTAGTCACGTTTAGTCAGAATCGTTCCATCAGGCTGTCTGTTTGTCATAATAATCAAATAGCTGTGATGATTGCTCAGGTACCCCGATGGTGGAACAAGCTTCCCCCTAATGTCAGGACGAAAAAAATGTCTCTCTCCCCAAAAAACAATTGTCTTTTGGTCAGTGCTATCCGGGATCCTTGGGACGTCCCTACCCTAACCCCTACCCTAACTATAACCATAACCCTTACCTAACCCTGACCATTACCTTGACCATTTTAAATTTCAACTTCAGTGGGGTAGGGATATCCCAAGGATCCCGGATAGCATGGACCCTTGTCTTTTCCTACAAGCACTGACTGCTGATAACTACTTTTACTGAGGAAAAATGTGCTTGCAATGACTGTGATATGTGGTTATCTCGTCTAGCTATCTTAAGATGAATGCACTAACTGTAAGTCGCTCTGCATATACAGTACATTTGGAAAGTATTCAGACCCCTGAACTTTCCACATTTTGTTACGTTACAGCCTTATTCTAAAATTGTTTTTCCCCCTCATTCATCTACACACAATACCCCATAATGACAAAGCAAAAACAGGTTTTTAGAAATGTTTGCAAATGTATAAAAAATAAAAAACTGAAATCACATTTATATAAATATTCAGACCCGTTACTCAGTACTTTGTTGAAGCACCTTTGGCACCGATTACAGCCTAGAGTCTTCTTGGGTATGACGCTACAAGCTTGGCACACCTGTATTTGAGGTGTTTCTCCCATTCCTCTCTGCAGATCCTCAAGCTCTGTCAGGTTGGATGGGGAGCATTGCTGCAAAACTATTTTCAGGTCTCTCCAGAGATGTTCAATCGGGTTCAAGTCCGGGTTCTGACATTGAGACTTGTCTCGAAGCCACTCCTGCGTTGTCCTGTTGGAAGGTGAACCTTCGCCACAGTCTGAGGTCCTGAGCGCTCTGGAGCAGGTTCTCATCAAGGATCTCTCTGTACTTTGCTCCGTTGATCTTTGCCTCGATCCTGACTAGTCTCCCAGTCTCTGCCGCTGAAAGACATCCCCACAGCATGATGCTGCCACCACCATGCTTCACCGAAGGGATGGTGCCAGGTTTCCTCCAGATTTGACGCTTGGCATTCAGGTCAAGGAGTTCAATCTTGGTTTCATCAGACCAGAGAATCTTGTTTATCATGGTCTGAGAGTCTTTAAGTGCCTTTTGGCAAACTCCAAGCAGGCTGTCATGTGCCTTTTACTGAGGAGTGGCTTCCGTCTGGCCACTCTACCATAAAGGCCTGATTGGTGGAGTGCTGTAGAGATGGTTGTCCTTCTGATAGATTCTCCCATCTCCACAGAGGAACTCTGGAGCTCCTTCAGAGTTACCATCGGGTTCTTGGGCACCTCCCTGACCGAGGCCCTTCTCCCCCGATTGCTCAGTTTGGCCGGGCGGCCAACTCTAGGAAGAGTCTTGGTGGTTCCAAACTTCTTCCATTTAAGAGGAGGCCACTGTGTTCTTGGGGACCTTCAATGCTGCAGAATGTTTTTTGCCACCCTTCCCCAGATCTGTGCCTCAACACAATCCTGTCTCGGAGCTCTACGGACAATTCCTTCGACCTCATGGCTTGGTTTTTGCTCTGACATGCGCTGTCAACTGTGGAACCTTATATAGACAGGTGTGTGCCAATTGTGCGCCTTCTCATGGTTCTCCCGGTCACGGCCGGCTGTGACACAGCCTGGGATCGAACCCAGGGCTGTAGTGACGCCTCAAGCACTGCGATGTAGAAACAATTCAAGGATGATCAATGGAAACAGGATGCACCTGAGCTCAATTTCGAGTCTCATTGCAAAGGGTCTGAATACTTGTGTAAATAACGTATTTCTGTTCTTTTTTTATAAATGAGCAAACATTTATAAAAACCTGTATTCGCTTTGTCATTATGGGGTATTGTGTGTAGATTGCTGAGAATAAAAAAAAAATCAATTTTAGAATAAGGCTGTAACGTAACAGAATGTGAGGAAAGTCAAGGGGTCTGAATACTTTCCGAAGGCACAGTTAAGCGTCTGTTAAATGACAATGTAATACACAGTGAGACACCTGTCTTCAGCCAACCATTTCACTGTGACTGCAGCATTCCACTGACGTACTCTATGTCTGGCTGGCTAGGGCTTTTTGTGAAAAGAAATGGAGGGATGTGTGGGTGGATAGAGGGTGGCATAGAATAAATCCTCCACAAAGCTGTCATTCTGCAGTCAGTCGGTCATTCATGTAGTGTTGTGTTCCCTCTTTTGACAACATGACTCTGTAATGCTAGTTTCTCCCTCATTTGAGCTGTTGAATGCTGTAGCCTAAAAGGAAATTCAACAGTCATTATCTCTGTCTTTTATGTTCACGGATTGAACTGTTTTGACCATACCGTTTCTCTACTTCATTGGCTTGACTGCCGTGCCAGGTGTTTTTCATTATTTGGCTTGTGTACTCATGTGTATTGCTGCTGTTTGACCGTGCCGGTCGTATATTTCTGGGGTCCGACCGTGTGGTCATGGTCATCACTGTGGTCTGACCGTGTGGTGTTGTTCTTTAGGAACCCCAGCTGTGAGGTGCACCAGGAGCCCCTGTCTCTGACGGTGATGGACTCCAGTCTGCAGGACACCCTGCCCCAGTGTATCAACACCCGCTGCAGCCAGCGCTTCACTAGCAGGTAGAGTACATTTAAGGGGTAACACTTTATTTGGATAGTCTATCTGTAGATGCTCCAGAGACTATCAGTAACATTTCAACTAACTATCTACAACTAACTATCTACTAGCCCTAACTCTAACTCTTACCCTAACCCTTATTCTAAACCTTACCCTAACGGAAACCTTAGAAATCAGTTGCTTATCAACAGATAGTTTGTTGATAGTGTGACCATTTGTAGATGATCTACAACCCATTACAGCCCACAGCACCAACCTGGAGGAACGACAGGGGGAAGAAATACTGTACTGGAGAATGAACTCTTTAATTTAGACCTCACTTTTGTCATCTCTCTGTACATAGATGGATTAAAGCATGTAGTGATACTGATTTTATAAGGAGAACGTTTCAGATCAAAATTCATTTCCAAAATACAATTGCTGAGATTTACTGTGAAGAGTATCCCTTACGTATGTCATAGTCTTGACCAAGACTTTATTAACTCTTACCTTTTCTCTGTGATCCTCAGTGACTGTTTTGGCGTGCTGGACTGTGAGTGGTGCATGGTGGACAGTGATGGGAAGACCCACCTGGACAAGCCTTACTGTGCCCTGCAGAAGGAATGCTTCGGGGGCATCGTGGGGGCCAAGAGCCCTTACATGGACAGCATGGGAATGCTGGGTGAGTCTACACATTCCTTACTGTCGCGAGGTCATGCAAACAGAATGGGCTAGTGGGTTAGACTTTGAGACTTTGTGGAATGATGTTTGATTTCCCACAGCTATGTGGTAGTCCTCCAAGAAGAATATTTTGTCAACTTTAAGGCACGGACAGACCGGTAGAATTGTTGAGCGTCTTACAGCCTATAATACTTGGCACCTCTGAACAGAGTGCCGGACGTAATTTGAAAACAGATTCTAGATGTAGAAATGGGCGAACGCGGCAGCCGTCAGTCGCCCACCGGCGGGTGGTCCCGATAACACACCACGCTGACAGCAAGCGAACGGCGAACGAACGGCCCCGTGCTGTGCAGACCGACAATCGGTCTGGTGAGTTTTCTCCTTTTATAGATGGAATGTAACCCTTTTCCTCCCTCTCTCCTCCCCTCCAGATGAAGAGGTAGTGTCTCTGAACATGATGAAGAGTGCCCCGGTAGGGCCGGTTGCCGGGGGTATTATGGGCTGTATCATGGTGCTGGTGTTGGCTGTCTATGCCTACAGACACCAGATACACCGGCGCTCACACCAGCACATGTCCCCTCTGGCTGCACAAGGTAAGACACCACGACATACTTAAGATGAATGTTACCTAGAACAACTGACTATGTAAAAGCAGCTAGTTAGTGCATGCAAGTTGGACAAGATCGGTGACACAAGTAGCCTTTGATTTAGGTTTGATTAAAATCTCATGAATAGGGAATGTTATTGACATTCAAGACCATTTTGTTATTGCCTAAGTCTGCAATGAAAGTACTCAAACTCAAAGACCGTTATTGCTCCAATGTTGCCTTAGGTATTAGTATTGATCGAGAAAGCGGCTACTGCTGCTGTGGGAATGATCGAATTAACGGTTGACCTTTCTAGACGCCGCAACACAGAGCCTCTTCTTAATGGTCGTATAAACACTCATTATTAACACTGACTAAAGAGACTCTCTTTATCGCTCTCCCTCCTTTCTACAGAGATGTCCGTGAGGATGTCTAACCTGGATAATGAGAGGGATGAGGACAGCCATGAAGACAGGGGGATCAGTAAGTACTGAGTGGACAAAACATTAGGAATTTTCTACAACACCCGGAAATCTGCCCCCTTTATTCTATGTACCCAACGCACTAGAAGACCAGTTCTTAAAGCCTTTAGCCGTATCCTTATTCTAGTCCTCCTCTGTTCCTCTGGTGATGTAGAGGCTAACCCAGGCCCTGCAGCCCTCAGTATCACTCCAACTCCCCAGGCGCTATCATTTGCTGACTTCTGTAATCGCAAAAGTCTTGGTTTCTTGCACGTAAATATCAGAAGTCTACTTCCTAAGTTTGAGTTATTCACTGCGTTAGCACACTCCGCCAACCCTGATGTTCTAGCAGTGTCTGAATCCTGGCTCAGGAAGGCCACCAAAAATTCTGAAATTTCCATCCCCAACTATAACATTTTCCGTCTAGATAGAACTGCCAAAGGGGGTGGAGTTGCAATCTACTGTAGAGATAGCCTGCAGAGCTCTATCATACTATCCAGGTCTGTGCCCAAACAGTTTGAGCTTCTACTTCTAAAAATCCACCTTTCCAGAAATAAGTCTCTCACTGTTGCCGCTTGCTACAGACCCCCCTCAGCCCCCAGCTGTGCCCTGGACACCATATGTGAATTGATTGCCCCCCATTTATCCTCAGAGTTCGTACTGCTTGGTGACCTAAATTGGGATATGCTTAATACCCCATCCTACAATCCAAGCTAGATGCCCTCAATCTCACGCAAATTATCAACGAACCTACCAGGTACAACCCTAAATCCGTAAACATGGGTACCCTCATAGATATCATCCTGACTAACATACCCTCTAAATACACCTCAGCTGTCTTCAACCAGGATCTCAGCGATCACTGCCTTATTGCCTGCGTCCGTAACGGGTCCGCGGTCAAACGACCACCCCTCATCACTGTCAAACGCTCCCTAAAACACTTTAGCGAGCAGGCCTTCCTAATTGACCTGGCCCAGGTATCCTGGATGGATATAGATCTCATTCCGTCAGTAGAGGATGCCTGGTTGTTCCTTAAAAGTAATTTCCTCTCAATCTTAAATAAACATGCCCCATTCAAAAAATACAGAACTAAGAACCGATATAGCCCCTGGTTCTCCTCAGACTTGACTGCCCTTGACCAGCACAAAAACATCATGTGGCGTACTGCATTAGCATCAAATAGCCCCCGCGATATGCAACTTTTCAGGGAAGTTAGGAACCAATATACACAAGCAGTCAGGAAAGCAAAGGCTAACTTTTTCAAACAGAAATGTGCATCCTGTAGCACTAACTCCAAAAAGTTTTGGGACACTGTAAAGTCCATGGAGAATAAGAGCACTTCCTCCCAGTTGCCCACTGCACTGAGGCTAGGAAACACTATCACCACCGATAAATCTACAATAATCGAGAATTTCAACAAGCATTTTGCTACGGCTGGCCATGCTTTCCATCTGGCTACCACTACCCCGGCCACCAACTCTGCACCCTCCGCTGCAACTTGCCCATGCCCCCCCCCCCCCGCTGTTCCTTCACACAAATTCAGACAGCTGATGTTCTGAAAGAGCTGCAAAATCTGGACCCCTAGAAATCAGCTGGGCTAGACAATCTGGACCCTTTCTTTCTAAAACTAGCCGCCGAAATTGTCGCAACCCCTATTACTAGTCTGTTCAACCTCTCTTTCATAACGTCTGAGATCCCCAGAGATTGGAAAGCTGCCGCGGTCATCGTGACACTCTAGATCCAAACTGCTACAGACCTATATCCATCCTGCCCTGCCTTTCGAAAGTATTTGCAAGCCAAGTTAACAAACAGATCACCGACCATTTCGAATACCACCGTACCTTCTCCGCTATGCAATCCGGTTTCCGAGCTGGTCACGGGTGCACTTCAGCCACGCTCAAGGTCCTAAACGATATTATAACCGCGATTGATAATAGACAGTACTGTGCAGCCGTCTTCATCGACCTGGCCAAGGCTTTCGACTCTGTCAACCACCGCATTCTTATTGGCAGACTAAATAGCCTTGGTTTCTCAAATGACTGCCTCGCCTGGTTCACCAACTACTTCTCAGATAGAGTTCAGTGTGTCAAATCGGAGGGCCTGTTGTCTGGACCTATGGCAGTCTCTATGGGGGTGCCACAGGGTTCAATTCTTGGGCCGACTCTTTTCTCCATGTATATCAATGATGTCGCTCTTGCTGCTGGTGACTCTCAGATCCACCTCTACGCAGACGACACCATTTTGTATACATCTGGCCCTTCATTGGACACTGTGTTAACAAACCTCCAAACGAGCTTCAATGCCATACAACACTCCTTCAGTAGCCTCCAACTGCTCTTAAACACTAGTAAAACTAAATGCATGCTTTTCAATCGAACGCTGCTGGCACCCGCCCACCCGACTAGAATCACCACTCTCGACGGGTCTGACCTAGAGTATGTGGACAACTACAAATACCTAGGTGTCTGGTTAGACTGTAAACTCTCCTTCCAGACTCACATAAAGAATCTCCAATCCAAAGTTAAATCTAGAATCGGCTTCCTATTTCGCAACAAAGCCTCCTTCACTCATGCTGCCAAACATGCCCTCGTAAAACTGACTATCCTACCGATCCTTGACTTCGGCGATGTCATTTACAAAATAGCCTCCAACACTCTACTCAGCAAATTGGATGTAGTCTATCACAGTGCCATCCGTTTTGTCTCCAAAGCCCCATACACTACCCACCACTGTGACCTGTACGCTCTTGTTGGCTGGTCCTCACTACATGTTCGTCGTCAAACCCACTGGCCCCAGGCCATCTATAAATCACTGCTAGGCAAATCCCCGCCTTATCTTAGCTCATTGGTCACCATAGCAGCACCCACCCGTAGTCTGCGCTCCAGCAGGTATATCTCACTGGTCATTCCCAAAGCCAACACCTCCTTTGGCCACCATTCCTTCCAGTTCTCTGCTGCCAATGACTGGAACGAATTGCAAAAATCTCTGAAGCTGGAGACTCTTATCTCCCTCACTAACTTTAAGCATCAGTTGTCAGAGCACCTTACCGATCACTGCACCTGTACACAGCCCATCTGAAATTAGCCCACCCAACTACCTCATCCCTATATTGTTATTTATTTTGCTCTTTTGCACCCCAGTATCTCTATTTTCACATAATCTCTTGCACATCTAGCATTCCAGTGTTAATACTATTGTAATTATTTTGCACTATAGCCTATTTATTGCCTTACCTCCATAACTTGCTACATTTGCACACACTGTATATATATTTTCTGTTGTATTTTTGACTTTATGTTTTTTTACCCCATATGTAACTCTGTGTTGTTTTTATCGCACTGCTTTGCTTTATCTTGGCCAGGTCGCAGTTGTAAATGAGAACTTGTTCTCAACTGGCTTACCTGGTTAAATAAAGGTGAAATAAAATAAATAAAAATAAAATCTACACTGATTGAAGTGGATTTAACAAGTGACAATAAGGTATCATGGCTTTCACCTGGTCAGTCTGTGTCCTCATGTTTTGTACACTCAGTGTAGGTTATTGTCAGTGTGCGTTACCTCACCAATGGGTTTGAATAATAATAAAAGTGTTCTGTAAGGTTGTGAGCTATTGCAATCCTGAAATAAACTACTGGAGCATTCAGTAAAGGCACAATCCTTGATTAGTTTTCCACTTGAAATGACCATTGAACAGCTATAAATATTGCATATTGACCTTGTGTTCGCTAACCTTTGAGTTGACCTGGATGTTGTCTTGCTGTTCCTCGTCTTGCAGTCAGTAACACCCGGTTCATTGCGGCGGTGATCGAGAGACACACCCACAGCCCCGAACGCAGGAGGAGGTACTGGGGACGGTCAGGGACGGAGAGTGACCACGGTAAGACCACCAGACGACCAGAAGATGACCACAGAGGAAACAGGGCACTGTACTCCCCTTAAAACCGCACATATTCTGGTTAAGGGGGAGAAGAGTGGTATAACTCTGAAAAGCCACATAACAGATAGCACACACTGCCTTTGTGTTCCCTCTCTTGTCCTCTGGAGATGAGTTTCGTTCTAGCTAACGCTGGTTGTGTAACCACTGATCAGAGAGGGAAGTGAAGGAGGGAGAAGTGGAGGAGAGGCAGTTGAAAAATGGAGAGGGTGTGTAAGAAAGAGGGCGGAAGCGCTTCAGGGCAAACGGCAAAGTGTTAAAAAGTTGTTGGTTCTTTTCCTCGGCTCAGTCGGAGGTGTCCTCCCACAGTCCACGCACTCCCACAGCTGAAGGGTCTCTGAACAGACACACACACACACACACACACACACACACACACACAGCTGAAGGGGCTCTGTAGAAACACTGAGCTTGTATCTGTTGGTACACACGCCAGGGAATTGGAGGAGCATTTGGTGTTTGTTCGGAGTCAAGGATGTTGTCTAACAGCCTGCATGCAAACAGACATCCTGCTATGGGCATTAGTAATTCAACCTTTCTCTGTGTATTATGTCTCTGTAAGTTATTACCTCAGTCCTGACCTTTCAGATCCTCTGTTTCGGTCCCTGTCTCCACTGTTATGCACTGTTCATGACCTTTCAACTGTGATTACTTTGTTCACTCACGCTCTGTGCTACTCCGAAAAACAGATGACAAAAGGAAACAGCAGTAGCACTGTTTGAAATGACTTCTCATCAGGAGATGGAAGGAGTTGAGCTGAGGGTAGGGGATAGGAGCTATGCAGTCAGTGCTGCTGAAGTCGGCATTTTTCCTCTCCTCCGGATCCCATTGAAGTCATCCCCATAGTTCCCTCTTTTAGAGAACATTTCGAAAGCCCAAATCACATTCAGAAGCTCTGCTAGCAAGTCTAAATCAGTACCTTTGTTTCGCTTCGATAGATGCCCACTCCTAAACCCATCATCCACTCCTATCTACCTTCCACTACACTCAGCAAGTTTCTCCTCCTTCTACAGTTCTAGTGTTTTATAAGAGTTTGTTTTATCTTCTGAGTCTAAAGTGCCTGAGGGCTGCTGAGTGTTGGGCTTTGACAGTATCAGAGGCAGAGATGAGATGTACGATGTTCTAATGTCAATGATCTGCGGGGATTCAGTGGAGGCTGGAGAGATGGAGAGAGGCATTGAAGATGGAGGGATTGATTCAAACGTGTAGGCAATCCCCCTCTTGATTGCTCGCGCTTTCTCTCAACTGCAGGGGCACAAACTTTCCCTTAGCTCACCCTTTCAAACCACCCCACGTGCAACGTGCATGACTCACTGCACATACAGCTCTCTTTTCCAGAGATTCCTACAAAGATTGAGATTTCACACAAATTGTAATTAATGAGGTGCGCTGGCTTAGAATTGTGTTTCCTAAACTGTAATTATAGATCGACGTAAGTATACTCTGGTGTGTAAAGTCTTGCATATTTTCTTCTGACGTTTCTACTGCTCTATAGTAGTATGCTGTTCATATAACAGTAAGAGGCAGAGAAGCAATCACAAAGCCTCCAATTTTGGGACAAATCTCTGTGATTCTGTGTGCTTTTATCCTTGTATGTGTCTTGTACATATATATGTGAATTTAATGTGTATTAACATGTGTATTCCTGTGTTTGTCACATCAGGCTACAGCACCATGAGTCCTCAGGAGGACAGTGAGAACCCTCCCTGCAACAACGACCCCCTGTCGGCCGGCGTGGACGTGGGTAACCACGACGATGACCTGGATTTGGACACGCCCCCTCAGACGGCGGCGCTGCTCAGCCACAAGTTCCACCCGTACCGCCACCCCCCCTACCACCACCCGCTCCACACACACCACCTGCAGGCAGCCGTCACCGTGCACAGTGTGGACGCAGAATGCTGATCCTAAACCTCCCTACCCCTTCACCTCCCCAGACCTTGGCTCTCCTCCACCCCCACCAGCCCTCTTCCTCGCCTGGCTGCACCACTGTGGGCCCCTGACATCCAACGCTACCACTACCATCACCTCCAGACTCCACCACCATGTAGGCTCCCACTGGGCCCAGCCAGGGTGAGGGGAGGTGGGCTGAGAGAGAATAGGGCAGACCCCCTGCTGTTGGACCCTGCTGGAAGTCTCCTTGGAAGATCATACACTGTAGGAGGAACACTAGCTTCTGTAGCCCAGCAGAGCTCTGCTCAGAACATGGGGGGATGAGGCGGAGCTGCTGGCCTTCTTCTAAAAGGGTCTGAACTTGTTTAAAAGTGTAAACAAAGCATCTCAAATGTTTAAGATAAAAAAAGAAAAAAGAAAGGATTATTTTTCTACTATTTATTGAACTGGATTTGAGATGGATCAGATGAGACTGACCGTGTGGCTGGAGCTGAATTGAAAGGACTCTGGTTGCTAAGGTAACCAGAGTGGCTGATAATGGACCACAGAGAGCCTCTGCTGCACACTTCCCTCACTTCCTGTCGAGGATGCATCATATCCTGTGTCACCGCAACGAAGAGGAAGTGGTTATTCAGCACATATCTGATACGTTATCATTTTGATTATTTTCAATTGAGAATCAGAAATCATTGTGAAGATGAACTCTTTGTGATGACTGGACAAGCTGAATATAACACATTGAGAAACCCACCCACTTGTTTAAACTAGATGTGTCATACTCAGATCACCTAGCCTACCATCAGTCTAGGGCTGGTTTGTGTCACTGGGGCTGCTGTATGACTGAATAAGGAAGGGGCAGGCAAGGACCCTGGCAGAATGACACAGGAAGTACAGTGCCCATGCTTTGGTGCCCTGTTATCTGCCTGAACAGAAAAGTATAATTATGCTTGGTGGAATTGGTTGGTCTGCCTTCGGAACTCACAATGGCATCTGGACCTGGTGGACCAAGCTATGGCTCTCGCCGTCTCTATGCCTGAGTGGGACCTATTTAGTGTTGAACAGAGGTGTGTGTGTGTGTGAGAGAGTGAGAGCTGGATCCATCTCTATGTTCCTTTGTGGTCAATTAATAAAAACACAGTCTTCTGTACACTCTGCTTGTGCAACTGTAATGGTGTATGTGTGTGTGTGTACACCACTTGTGTGTGCGTGTGTTTGGTCTGATTGTATGAAAGTGGTCAAAGCATCTCCATTGAAGGCGTTATTACATGGTTTAATTGTTTTGAAAGTGTAATTAGAAAATAGAGATGAAATTATTTTTGTTTAAGCAGTCCGCCTGATTTTCTGGTGAGTAATTTGACCCCTATGACTATGTGCTTTTTTTAGTCATGTGATTCATGGTTGAACTGCTCCAAATCAAGTCAGTATGGTATTCATTTAGTTTGGGTAAAGAATGTCTAATGTTTTTTTCCCGAACTAAACAGTATAAAGTGTACATATGTTTTAAAAAATATCACAAATAGCTATTAATGTGTTACAATCCATATGTCTATGCTGAAAATGAAATATTGTGTGCTCAAAATGATGCTCAGATATTTGGGTTTATTTTGATATTTTTCAGTACATAGTATCTATCTGACTATACACTGCGATGCCGATGTTATTAGGTCTTAACTTTCTTTAGGTCCATATTGGATGGAAAGCAGACTGGCATTGTGGTATTTTACACACTTAAAGTTGGAGATCAATCGTCTTTAAAAGCCTCATATTTTTTTATACACGTAGGGTCCAAATGTCACATAAGACGATATCAATTGACAGGAAGAGATTTTATTTTAGACTGCATTGGAACTTTCTCCCTGTTCGTTGAGTTGAATTAGTTCTAGACAGGGTATGGGTCAATTTCATTTCAATTAGAAATTGAATATCCGTTTACTTCCTGAAATAGAATTGACCTCAATGTCGCCTAACCCTAAAGCTGATATGGGATATTGTGGTACTCTCCTCTCAATGTAGTTAAAAGCAGTAATTTGTTTTAGTCACAATTAGCATCTACTGTCCTCTTCCTAACTACCACCACTGAAATTATAGCACTGGATTTTATTCATAACACTACACAGCTCTGGTGAATGTACCCCCTGATTTTGTAATGTCAGATAGTGCATATTTCCTACTCAGGATGGTACCAAAGCATAAGTGGGTGTGATGTTTGATTCTGAAAAACAGGAACTAAATTTACTGAGACTAGTGTTGCAAATAACTCTGTTTTTACATTTGTTTTTTTAGTTCCGTTGTAATGACATTTTTAACAGGAGAGAGCATTAACAGTATTTACCAGCTGTTGTAAGCAAGTATAATTTTGTGTATTCCGAACACTATGAATTGTATTAATGTACTGAAGGAACTTCAATGTGTGTATCATTCCTTTTTTCCAGTGTAACATATACAGTTATTATATGGAGATTTATTGCAATGTGAATGTGATTAAAAAAACAACAAAAAAAACATTTAAAACCCCTTGCCTCTTTCAATGTGTTGTCCATTTACTATGCTACTGTACTGCCTCAATATTTAATTCACTGTGTACCGTCTTGTACTACTCCCTTCAATATTCAATTTAACATAGTAATTTTAGTTTAGACAACATTCATCTTAGTTCAGCAATAACATGACACCTTAAACACCACCCCACAATCACAATACAACATGGTAGGCCTACGAAATGACACATTATACAACTGGATCATCAGTCAGTGGGGCACCATGTCATGTCTGCCAGTACAGATACAGTAGGATTAACTGATAGATGATCTACTCCTTTATTCTTTATTTTAGGCCCATATTGCTATGTGTCACCAACCCATATTTATTGTTGTTGGATTAGATTGGGGTGTGAAGGTCATTTAGGTCAACTGAAAGGTACGAGACAAAATGGCTTTTCAATCCCAGACAGCACTCAGTTTTCAGGGTGTTTTACCTCGCAGTAGGTCATGGTGGGGGGAGGTAGGAGAAGAGCTATGCATTGAAGCCTGAGAGCATCATTTATTTATCTGAATTTCTATATAGAGTTCTGTAACCAACAGCCTTGGATCTGAAGACATGTTTTGATACATGTAGATTTAAGAACACACAAGTTTCATTATAGTCAGTCTCTTTTAGAGGTGGTGAATGCATACAGTTCCTTCGGAAAGTATTCAGACCCCTTGACTTTTTTCACATTTTGTTACGTTACAGCTTTATTCAAAAATAAAAAATTCTCGATCTACACATTTGTTAAAAATTTTTTACTGCGCACATTTACATAAGTATTCAGACCCTTTACTCAGTACTTTGTTGAAACACCTTTGGCAGCGATTACAGCATCGAGTCTTCTTTGGTATGACGCTATAAGCTTGGCACACCTGTATTTGTGGAGTTGCTCCCATTCTTCTCTGCAGATCCTCTCAAGCTCTATCAGGTTGGATGAGGAGCGTTGCTGCACAGCTATTTTCAGGTCTCTCCAGAGATGTTTGATCGGGTTCAAGTCCAGGCTCTGGCTGGGCCACTCAAGGACATTCAGAGACTTGTCCCGAAGCCACTCCTGCGTTGTCTTGGCTGTGTGCTTAGGGTCGTTGTCCTGTTGGAAGGTGAATCGTCGCCCGCAGTCTGAGGTCCTGAGCGCTCTGGAGCAGGTTTTCATCTAGGAACTCTCTATACTTTGCTCAATTCATCTTTCCCTCGATCCTGACTAGTCTTCCAGTCCCTGCCGCTGGAAAACATCCCCACAGCATGATGCTGCCACATGCGTCACCATAGGAATGGTGCCAGGTTTCCTCCAGACGTGACGCTTGGCATTCAGGCCAAAGAGTTCAATCTTGGTTTCATCAGAACAGAGAATCTTGTTTCTCATGGTGTGAGAGTCTTTAGGTGCCTTTTGGCAAACTCCAAGCTGGATGTCATGTGCCTTTTACTGATGAGTGGCTTCCGTCTGGCCACTCTACCATAAAGGCCTGATTGGTAGAGTGCTGCAGAGATGGTTGTACTTCTGGAAGGTTCTCCCATCTCCACAGAGGAACTCTACAGCTCCTTCAGAGTGACCATCGGGTTCTTGGTCACCTCCCTGACCGAGGCCCTTCTCCCCCGATTGCTCAGTTTGTCCGGGCGGCCAGCTCTAGGACGAGTCTTAGTGGTTCCAAACTTCTTCCATTTAAGAATGATGGAGGCCACTGTGTTCTTGGGGACCTTCAATGCTGCAGAATGTTTTTGGTACCCTTCCCCAGGTCTGTGTCTCGGACCTCTACGGACAATTCCTTCGACCTCATGCCTTGGTTTTTGCTCTGACATGCACTGTTAACTGTGGAACCTTATATAGACAGGTGGGTGCATTTCCAACAGGTGGACTCCACTCAAGTTGTAGAAGCATTTCAAGGATGATCAATGGAAACAGGATGCACCTGAGCTCAATTTCGAGTCTCATAGCGAAGGGTCTGAATACTTATGTAAATAAGGTATTTCTGTTTTTTATTTTTAATAAATGTACATACATTTATAAAAACCTGTTTTCGCTTTGTCATTATGGGGTATTGTGTGTAGATAGCTGAGGATTTTTTTACATTTTTGTACCATTTTAGAATAAGGCTGTATGTGGAAAAAGTCTAGGGGTCTGAATACTTTCCGAAGGCACTGTATGTCCAAAGTGATGTATTGGCATCACTGTATGGAATGTTATTTTTTATAAGAGTATAATGTATAGGTCTATGAATGTAGAGAGGTTGAGGAAGAGATGCACACATACATACAGTACATACATAATTCAGCAGTTATGAATAATGGGTGAATGCTGAAGTGTTATCCGGTCTGTATCCTCTATCTAACCAGGTCTCTCCACATTTCTAAACAAAGTTTCTCCTTCAGATGCAGAGAAAGACATGGTGAAGGTTTTTCCTTAATGATCATGGGCAGCAGGACAGGAAAGTGGACCAGCTATAGTTCTGTAGTGCTAAAGGCTGGGCCAGGGCCATCAGGGAGAAGAAGAGAGGAGCTCCACTCCCTGTCTCACTCTTTCTCCCTCTCTCTGCCAGGGATCAGCTCTGAATTAGAGCACTCTCACTGTTCTCCAAGTTTCCTCAGGCCATTATTCCATTCTGGGTGCACCCAAGGCATTCCCAGCCAACTTGGGAGTTAGCATATTGTACACATGAACAAACAGGCCAGAATATTCTGAAGTAGGGCTATACTTATTTGCCTCCTGCTATTAATCTATGTAGTTTAGGACCACTGGTTGAGGCTAACACCATTATTAATTGTAACATCAGGGAACACAGGGAAAGTTGTGTTGAAGGGCATTGGGTAGATGACAGAGGAGAGTGTTCC